CAAATCTCTAAGCGTTTGAGGCTCCTAGACTCCCTTAACGTTTCTAAGCACTTTATAAGGCCCCTAAACTCCCTTTTTCCTAGCCCCGGGCTTAGACACGTCGCTTATGCCCGCCCTTTGGGGAGCATCATGCTCCTGATGCGCCCCCGGGGTCCCGCCCCGGGAGCCGCTGATACTCCTGATGCGCGCCTGGGGGTCCCGGGCTGGACCCGCTGATGCTCATGATGCGCGCCCTCTGGGAGCCTCCGTGGCGACGCAAAAAACCACGAAAAAAAAACCGTTCACCGGCGGCACGCGGGGGTCGGCGGCACTGGCGTCCGGCCTAATTCTGCTTCGCAGAAGGCCAGAGGCCAGCAAGGCTATTCCCGGCACAACCCGCATTAAAAGGTCCGCATTTGGTCGGTCCTTTGGGGACCTCGCGCTGCCCGATTTTAAGGGGCTGCGCCCATGGGCGGGCAGCGCACGCAGAAGCCCGGGGGCGAGCAGTTTCTAAGCATGTTGAGGCCCCTAAACTCCCTTAAAATCTCTAAGCGTTAAGTTTCTAAGCATTTTCAGGCCCCTAAACTCCCTTCAAATCTCTAAGCGTGTGAGGCTCCTAGACTCCCTTAACGTTTCTAAGCACTTTATAAGGCCCCTAAACTCCCTTTTTCCTAGCCCCGCGCTTAGACACGTCGCTTATGCCCGCCCTTTGGGGGGCGTCATGCTCCTGATGCGCCCCCGGGGTCCCGCCCCCGGAGCCGCTGATGCTCCTGATGCGCGCCTGGGGGTCCCGGGCTGGACCCGCTGATGCTCATGATGCGCGCCCTCTGGGGGCCCCCGTGGCGACGCAAAAAACCACGAAAAAAAAACCGTTCACCGGCGGCACGCGGGGGTCGGCGGCACTGGCGTCCGGCCTAATTCTGCTTCGCAGAAGGCCAGAGGCCAGCAAGGCTATTCCCGGGACGACCCGGGCTAAAAGGTCCGCATTTGCTCGGTCCTTTGGGGACCTCGCGCTGCCCGATTTAAAGGCTGACGCCGCTGCCGCCGACCCCCGGCGCTGCGGATGGGGTCGGGGGAAACGACCTCCAAAACAACAAATTCGGTTGTTTTTTGGTCCTTCTCCTGTGTGGGGGTTGGGGGGGGGGGGGGGGGGGGGGGGGTGTGGGGGTTGGGGGGGGGGGGGGGGGGGGGGGGGGGTGGGGGGGGGGGTTGGGAAGGGTGGTGCTTTTGGCCGTCCAAACAACATTCGGTTTTTTGGGTAGGGTGGGGGGGAAGGGGCGCGGGGGGGGGGGGGGGGGGGGGGGGGAGGGGGTTGAGGGGGTAGGGGGGGGGTGGGGGCAGGCGTAGCGCGGGGGGGGAACACAAAACGTGTGGTTCCATCTGCCTGGCCGCCTTCCAAAACAACAAATTCGGTTGTTTTGGGTAGGGCGGGGGGGGGAAGGGGCCGCGAAGAGATGGCATCCACTACTTGGAGGTTCAGGGTACTTTATCGTCAATGAGAACTGTACTTATCCGCCGACCCCCTTTGTCGGCGTCAAGAAGCTGGACTCGTACCTTTCCCGCTGGACCCGCTAGTGCCCTTCCCCATGGACCCGCGCGGCTTGCTTCCTACCTGGATGGAACCACGCGTATTGTAACCCACCTCCATACTCCAACGTTTTGTGACCCATTCCCTACCCCCCCCGCCCTGGCTCATGGTACTTGCTAACCAATGAAAACTGTACTTGTAACCAACGTATAAGCCCCTTAAGCGCCCTAATATGGTTGTAAGTACAGTTATAAGTAGAGTTACCCTAAACCCTAAACCTTATAAGTGCAGTCATAATTGGTTAGTAAGTACCATGAACCTCCAAGCACGAGGTGAATCGTCAGTTCACCGTCGGGGACATCATTGAGACCAACAAAATCACAGGCGCCCTGGGGTTCAGGGTCTAGGGTTTAGGGTTTAGGGTGTTTAGGGTGTATAGGGTTTAGAGTTTCTCAGTAAACATCACAAAAAGCGGTGAGGTTGACTCAATCAGCCTTTTCGTGCAATTAAACGTTTATGGAGTGAGGCCGGGCTTCTCATGCCCAAACCTTTAGAAACCCTGGAAACCCTGGAGATTTTGGAAACTCTGGACATCTTGGAAACCCTAAAACCCTGGAAACCCCAAAAACCCTCAACCTTCTAACGGCACCTAAGAGTTTAGGGTCCCACCACCCCCAAAACACCTTGCATTAAGGGGCAAACCCTTAATCCCTATAAAGACCCTATAAGCCTATAAAACCCCAAAAACCCTATATTAACCCTAAACAGACCCTATGAAAGCCACTCGCAGGCAAGGTGAAGTCCATGGGCTGGACCTTCATCCCTAAAAACACCAAAAACCCAAAACCCCTAAAACCTCTAAACCCTAAAACCCCTAAAACACCCGACAAAGCCCCTAACCACCCTATATCAGCCCAAAAAACCCTATAGAAACCCTATATAAACCCTATAAAGACCCTATAGCAGCCCTAACAGAGGCAAGGTGAAGTCCATGGGCTGGACCTTCATCCCTAAAAACCCCTAAAACCCATAAACCCCAAGAACCCCCACAAAACCCGACAAAGTCCTAACAGAGGCAAGGTGAAGTCAATGGGCTGGACCTTCATCCCCCAGAAAAACCCTCTAAAAACCCTATAGCCACCCTACAAAAGCCCTACAAAGACCCTCTAAAAGCCCCTAAAATCCCTAACAAACCTAAAATATCCCTAACAGAGGCAAGGTGAAGTCCATGGGCTGGACCTTCATCGAGCTCCAGCGAGGAGATGATCTCGTCATGCTGCCGAACTCCAAGGCCGCACGAGCTCGCAGACAAGTCTTTGAAGGGGGTCCCCCCGCATAGAGCCCTAAACCCTAAACCCAAACCCTAAACCCAAAACCCTAAACCCCAAACCCCAAACCCTAAACCCTAAACCCCCCTGAACCCCCCTAAGCCCTGAACCCGCAACCCTAAACCCTCAACCCTGAACCCTGAACTCCCCCCCCCCCCCCCCCCCCACCCAGAACGCGACCATCCTCATTACGGGAGCCCCCAACATGGGGACCCCTGTGCACTCACTCGAGACGACCTCATAGGTGTTAAACCCAGACTGCCCAAATCAGACCCGGTTTGGGGTTTAGGGTTTAGGGTTTAGGGTTTAGGGCTAGAGTTTCGGCATCCCGTGTGAGGTGGTGGGCACGACGGTGGTTCAAATCGGACACTTCGCGGAGAAAGGAGGAGATCTAGCCTCGCACGGTGTGAAAGCCAGACAAGTCCTCCTTGCCGTAGTGCTGCCAAACTGGCCGACCCTAAACCCTAAACCCTAAACCCTAAACCCACTTCTTTGTCTTGGTGTTGCCTTCTTTCTTGGCTGTTTGTTGAGATGTGTGTTTTGTTGTGTACGCCTTGCTTTTAGTTATCTCGGCTGCTAGCGAGTTTTTGGAGTTTGCTCTTGGCATGTGTTTGTGTATATATTAATTTAATTAACAAATTAATGAATTAATGAGTTACTTAATTAATGAGTTAACTAATGAATTTCTTAGTTAATTAGTTAATGAATTACTTAATGAATTACTTAACTAATTAATTAATTAATTACGTGTGTTCTGTTTGCATGGTCGCTGGGATTTGATGGCTTGCGACGTCTCTCTTGTTGCTGTGTCCAAAAGCAACTCCCAAACCTCATTTTGGGTATGCTGAATCATATATAGTGTATCGCCGGCAACTGGGGGGGGGGTAGATTCCTCGGTTATTCAGCTACCATAAACCTTAAACCCTAATCCTAAACCCCCCCCCCCCCCCCCCCCCCCCCCGCAAACACAAGGTCCGAAAAGTATTCGTGGTGGAGGGGGTATTGAATTGGCTTGTCCACCTGGACCCATTATGTACCCCTTGTAATCCCCATATATACCCTGGAAACCCAAGGGCCCATACTTCAGAACCCTTTAAAGAAGGTAATGGACCATATTGAGACCCCAAACCCTAAATCCCTAAACCCCAAACCCTAAGACCCAAAGTCTATAAAATGTGGTCCCTTTGGGGTCCTTTATAAGGCGGCCCCTCTTGTTTAAGGTTCCCCCAAAAGGGATCCTAGTTTTGAGAACTCACCACGTAACCCTAACCCTAAACCCTAAACCCTAAACCCTAAACCCTAAACCCTAAACCCTAAACAACTGCCCTTAGGGCCCATGTGTGGGTCCGAAGCAAGTTGCAGGAGCTGCCGAGTCGGACTGAGGCAAAGCTTGTCAGAGCCGTATCGCCACCCGTAACCAGTAATATAGGGGGCCTGAAGAATTGTTTTTAATTTTTTTTTTTGGGGGGGGGGGGGTGTCCCTAAACCCTAAGCCCTAAACCCTAAACCCTAAGCCCTAAACCCTAAACCCTAAGCCCTAAACCCTAAACCCTAAGCCCTAAGCCCTACCCTAAACCCAAACCCTACCATAGTATAACAGTATAGGGACCTCAAGAGAATACTGTTAGTAACTATCCCGCCCCTATACTGCCGTGTGGCCGAGACGATGGCTGTTTGAAAGCTATGGCGCCATGTGCCGTTTGAAAAGTTGGCTTCCTGACAGTATTGATTTTGATATCCGTTTCTCTACGTTATAGACCTCAAGCTCTGGGCAAAAAAAGCTGCAAGCCATGTGCCGGTTCACTCCTTGCAAATATGGGGGGGGGGGGGGGTCCGAAATTAGGGGAACCTTTTTGGGTCCTTATGATACGGGGATCCTACTGTTACTATTTGGGGGGTCTATTTTAGGGGTCCCCTATGTTCGCAAACTCCCATATGCTTTGCTGAAGAACCCGGCATGCCTGGTGACTCCTTGGCTTGCAATGACTGCGCCGCCAGCATGTTGGGCTTTGTTGCGTTGTTGTTAACGTGCGTCTAGTGTGCCTTAGGGCATGACGTGAGATTGCAGCCTTGAAGCAGCATCTGTCTATTGCAACTAGGGCATGGCAGACAGTTCCTGTGTGTGCATTCAGAGATTTCGCTGGGTTTCGCCCCTTGCAAACGCAATGGCACCCAAGGCAGTCTTGCCATACAGTTGCTCACATGTTGGCTGCACTGGTCTAGCCTCCTAAGTAGAGTTCTTGTGACTACTGTCGCCATAGGTTCAACAAAGTCCTGCCTTTGTGCGCTCAGCAGGAGAAGAAGAAGAAGCGGACAAACAAGCCAAGCCCACAGGAACGCATGCAAGAAGCGCCAGTGGCCCCAGCTGCCATAGTTGAACCCATACCATGAGCGTGCTTTTGGGATTTTGGTCCATTGTTGGGCCTGTCCCTCTGTTGGGCTGTAGGAGTGCAGGGGCACTGGGCTCACCGAGGTACTTGTAGCAAGTGATCGCCGGAGCCCTTAACATTCCTGAGCCTGAGCCGTCTTTGGTTCTTCAGGTTTGCGCTGATGAACCTGGATGAGGACACCAACATCTCTCGGGAGGAGTTCCTCAAGGATAGGGCCAGGGCCGATGATGATCCGATTCTGCGCAGAGTGTGCCGGTTTAGGGTTTAAACCCTAAACCTTATAGGCCCGAAAACCCCAAAAACCTCTAAGCAAGGATGAGTCGAAGAAGGCAATGTCCTTGCCCACCCCCCCCCCCCCTTGCTTCCTGGCTTCACGCTGACGACTTTTGCCATTTCAGTTGCGATGTTCGCCCTTATACTAACAGTCCTGAATAGGGATTCTAGTACACCCTGTTATAATCCCTATCAAGGATTGTTAGTATAAAGCTAAGCATCAGAATAAGCATTCATAGCAATCTATGCTGTTCCAGCGTCATGTGTCGCGTGGCGTATGCTTTTACAGTGTCCATTTATGTGCCCGTGCTGGCAGGCAATGGAATCTGTGGGTATCGTGGGACCGCAAGCAGAAAGCCTTTTCAAGAGGCCATGCTCTCGCAGATAAAAAAGCCAGTTTGGGAAAGTGAGCGCAGTTGTTGTGGATTGATGTGGATTGGCGGTCCTGTGATAGCCTGATGCGCACTCCCAGACAAACAAGACACCTGGTCACCAGAGAAAATGCAGCAGCCTGGCAGGTTCGATCCAGATGGCAGTGGGCTGCTGGACAAGCAGGAGCTGCTAGGAGTTTCGGGTGTGATAACCTGCCCTAAACCCTAAACCCTAAACCCTAAACCCTAAACCCTAAACCCTAAACCCTAAACCCTAAACCCTAAACCCTAAACCCTAAACCCTAAACCTGTCTTCTGTCCACCGAAGCTGTCGCTCTTGTGACACTGCAAATGGGGGTACCTGCACTTTTGAGGAGTTCTTTGCCTATGCAGCGAAAGGGACGGCAGATGCCAAGCCCTGAGAAGTTGCGTTCTGAAGATCCTTCGCTGCTTTCTGTTAAGTAGGTTTCGGGTTTAGGGTTTAGGGTTTAGGGTTTAGGGTTTAGGGTTTAGGGTTTAGGGTTTAGGGTCCATGTACCTATATACTTGTAGTATGTACTTGGGCCTTAAAAGGGGGGAACCCATGTAGTAGCTTCAGGGCCCCAAGTTTATGCTGCGCAGGTACATGGGCCCTTAGGGGTTCTCGCACCCCTTAGAGTCTGCAAGAGCCTCTTCCGCCTGGTTCTGAGTAGGGAATGAGGGAATTAGGACCCTATCTGTACCCTTTAAGGGATTACATAAGGGGTCCCTAGAGTCTTATTCCCCTATAGAACCCCTATAGATACCTTATATAGCCCCTATATACCTAAGTAGCCCGCGAATAACCCCCAAAGAGCCCCTGAGGTCCCTTATCTAGACCCTAGTCCCTTGAACCCTATAAACCCTAGCCCTAAACCCTAACCCCTAAACCCTAAACCCTAAACCCTAAACCCTAAACCCCGTGACTCTTGCGTCTTGCGCTGCAGCTCCGCGCGCTGCTTCGACGCAGCACGGCCACCGATGGGGAAGACCCCGCAGAGGCTATTCTTCAGGCCGCTGGGCCGCTCTACCATCCTCAACCCTAGGCCCTTTAGGGTTTAGGGTTTAGGGTTTAGGGTTTAGGGTTTAGGGACCCTCGTCAACCCTAAGCCCTAAACTTGGGGAAGCACCGCTTAAGCGAGATTATTATTGGGGGGGTACTAGAATCCCTCTTAAGGCCTGTTAGTATAAGGGGGGACATCCCAACTGGCTGCAGTCGGCAGGCGTTCCAGGCATGGGACACCGACCAGGCGAGGCTTGATGCTGCCTTCTCCGGCACACTACAAAACTGCCGTCATGTAGAGGGGTGGTTGTCAAAATTAGGATCCCTTTTGGGGTACCCTAAATATTAGGTGCCGTATTATAATAAGGATCCAAAAAGGACCATCATTTTGACAACCACCCATATGTACATGCATGTATGCATACATACAAATGTACAAACATGCGTATGTATATACATCTTCACATATGCATAAATCCATAGATACTTTACATCCATACATGTCTACACGCATACATATGGCTGCGTAGATAACCTTTAACCTTCTGGGGGTATATACAGTCGTACCATAATTGAACGGCTAATCTTTTTCGGGCCAGCGTACTCAGCAACTAGGCATGCACATATATATATATATATATATACTTATTTATTTATTTATCTATCTATCTACGTATACATTGTTCCGTGTCGCGTGTCAGTACTCCCCCCCCCCCCCCCCCCCCCCCCCCCAGCCATGGTACCCACCCGCCACCCCCACATCCCCAACCCCCCCAAAGAACACAAGACCCGGAGAACCCTGCATGGACCCCAAACCCTCAAACCCGAAATCTGCCTATATTCATGTGCAAAAATGAATAGTTACATGTACATGCGTATGCATTGCCAAGGCAACTTTTATACGACATGTTTGTACATATACATACATTCACGTATACATAAAGTACACACACACACATGTATACACACATATATCCATACTGACATGTGTGTACATTCACATCTTTGTACACATCTACACAAATATACGTATACACGTATATACACGTGGGGCCTTCTCTTCTGTATACAGCATATGTATATATATATATATACATACGCACACACGCACATAGATACACACACACATATATATATATACATTGTGCACGCACGCACGCACGCACGCACGCACGCATGCACACATGTTTACATACCTGCATGTCTACAACGATACGTACATATATATATATATATGATAGCTACTATGAAATTTAGGACCACCCGGCCACAGAGCCCACGTCTGTATGGGTTGGTTCAACGGCCTGCTGGCACAGTCGTGCCAAGCAGGCCAGTACACCCCCCCCCCCCCCTCGTTCCGCGACACCAAACGGCTGGTTGAGCTTTCATGTTCAGTAGCAGTTGCGCATGACGAACTGGCCACAGGCCGCCTCGTCTGGTGAGGTGATAAGACAATCAGGTTGCACCTCTTTCCTGGTTTGAAGAGAATCTTGCTGGACATGTTCGTTTCCGCATAGCTAGGACATTGCGCACAGGATGGCACCATCTCCAAAGCAGAGCTGGAGCGAGTTCTCGTGCCTCGGCAGCCAGATGCAATTGCTTCCAAATGCGGTAGCCACGGTGCTAGGAGGATTGGCTCCTGCTTATGATGAACTAGCTAGGCCCTTGGGACATGTTACGTTATCCCTTATTGGGTTCAAGAGGGTCATTGAATTCTTTCTAAGCCCTAAACCCTAAACCCCTAAACCCCTAAACCCTAAACCCCAAACCCTAAACCCTTTTCAGGGCCATCCTGGTGAAGCTAAGTGGCATTCGACATGCCAGCTCAAGAGTGGCCCTTGAGTTTAGGGTTTAGGGTTTAGGGTTTAGGGTTTAGGGTTTAGGGTTTAGGGTTTAGGGTTTAGGGTTTAGGGTTTGGGGCTAGGGTTTAGGGTTTAGGGTTTAGGGCTTGGCACTTCGTTTTGTCGAGAGGTCGTCCTGAACCCTTCCTTTACCAAGAAGGACATGAGCAAGCTGCTGAAGGTCCCTCCGGACCTTGCAGAGAGCCCTCGGATTCTGAGCTGAGTGCTTTGAGTGATATGCTATGCTACAGTATTTTTGAAAAATCTGGTTTATATATAAATATCTTCATATATATATAGTATGATATAATATATTATATTACACTATATTCTGTTATATTATATTCTCAAGACATGAACATTTATTACGTATGCATGGCTTCTAGGAGGCTCCCAAAGTCTCCCCTAAGTTCCAAGACAGCAAAGGTAGGCTTTTCATGCTGAGCGCAAGCATGGCAGGGCATGGACCAAAACGGCGATGGAATCGTAGACTACGAGGACGTGCGCGTGTACTGCGGGTGCTAAATCCAGTTCTGAAGCGGGTTGAGTGTTGAGCTCCGAAACATAGACCTGTTACCGCGCTGCAAGAGACTGCTTTAGTGCGACACGATCTTGAGTGGCTCACTTGAACGTTTTTTTTTCCAGAAGTAAGCAGTGGTTCAAGTGTGACTTGGAGTACGCTGATGCAAGACGTTTCTGCCTCACAGGAATTCGCTGATTGGCTGTGCAGCACGTCCCCACCTTAAGAATCTGGATGAAGTGTGAAACTCCGACATTTACAGAGCATGCAACAGCAAGCAATCACTGCCACGATGATGTTGAGCCAGGAAGAAGATGAAGTGATGGCTGCATGTGTCTGAAGGTGGTTCACCGTCTCACTTATCATCATGCCTTCTCCCTCCATGTCCACAAACGTGGCATGTCAGAGGTAGGGGGTTTACGAAAAGAAGGACCCTTAACATGGACCCCCCCAATTCCTGTTAAGTAAGAACCCCAATAAGGTACCCCCCCCCCCCCAAAATTTCGGAAACCCCCTGGTGAATGCTTGCCAGCCCGCGGTAGTGCTCAACCAAAAGGCTGTTGTAAATGCATACGAGGCAGAGCACATGTTGGCTGATCTGATGCCTATAAGCCTAGAACCCTATAACCCTATAACCCTAGACATCCAGCTTTGCATGCAACCGTTGAGCCCTAAACCCCAAACCCTAAACCCCAAACCCCAAACCCTAAACCCTAAACCCTAAACCCTAAACCCCAAACCCCAAACCCCAAACCCCAAACCCTAAACCCTAAACCCTAAACCCTAAACCCTAAACCCTAAACCCTAAACCCTAAACCCTCCCTAAAGCCTCGGGCCCATCAGCCCTCACTCCCACGCCCAAACGATTCCCAGCCTCCTGGAGAGCTGCTCTGGAAGCCGAGAGCATCTACCACGGGACTAAAGGAGGGGCCTAAAGTTTAGGGTTTAGGGTTTAGGGTTTAGGGTTTAGGGTTTAGGGTTTAGGGTTTAGGGTTTAGGGACCCCTGTAAGGGACTCAGGGGTAACTATCTACTCAGGTAGATAAGGTGTATATGTATATGTACGGATTGTATAGACTCTACATGTCACATAAGGCGCCAGCCTAAGGATTAGCCGTGACTGTTTGACTGTTTAGTACCCCATCTTTAAAGGAGCATTCTTCGGCATTCAACAGAAAGAGAGATTCAGAGCATGTACATAAAGTTATATCAGAAGGCTTTTGTCCGCTGTGCAATGCTCCGCTTTCGCAGTATCTGTGCCCTTTTGCGCCCTCAGTGGAGGTAGGCAAGCCTGCAAGCAAAGTTTTCCCGTCCACTTACGGCTTGCGCAGCTTGCGCGGCTGTTCACACAGATGTTTGGGGGCATCTTGCAGCATCTAGCAGATGAGCATTTGAGCTTCGTGTGGCGCGCGATGGCCTCATGTTATGCGTCTCGCAGAATACTCGAGCCTTGGCTTGCAGCTTATGTCCCTAAGCCCTACACCCTACACTTTCAAAGGCTTAAAAGCACGAAGTGACGACTTCAGACCTGTCTCGAGTTAGAGGCCTGGTCCGGCAGAAGATCGTGGCTGAAGTGGATTTCAGGCGTGCGGCCCTTAGCGTGTCTAATGCATCTATTCCCCACGTCTGCGTTTGTTTGTTTCTTTGTTGGTTTGCTTCCTTGTTTGTTTGATATTGTGTGTGGGTGTGTGTGTGTGTGTGACGTGGGGCTAGTTGCAGAGAAATTGCGTAGATGCCAAAGTAAGGCCGCTCATTGCATGGCCTGACCATTTTCGAGCTCTCTTTTGGTGAGCCGGAGAGCCTCAGCGTGCAGAAGCAATGCATTGAACTAGTCTGCTCAGCATGGAGAAGCAACGCATTGCTTGGTATATAGGTGCATCTATAGCCCCCTTAGGAAACATTTTTCTATTCTTATTTATGTAAAACCCAAAAGTATGATTTTGATTAAGGTTCTAAGGGGTGTCTAGGTATAAGTGCAGCTAGTGGCTTTTTGTCTTCCAGGCAAGCATGTGCCATGAGGAACCCTAAACCCGAAACCCGAAACCCTAAACCCTAAACCCTAAACCCTGAACCCTAAACCCTAAACCCTAAACCCTAGCCCCCTAAACCCCCAAACCCTAAACCCTAAACATGCCTGCATCCCTGCCAGGGGCCTTGGCAATGAGGGAGCCTCCGAGACGTCGGTGCACCTTCCAGCACATGCAACGGGCAGGCTCGCAGAAGCTCCCGTCGAACACAGAAATCTCTCAACCTCTAAACCCTAAACCCTAAACCCTAAAACCCTAAACCCTAAAACCCTAAAACCCTAAAACCCTAGAACCCTAAAACCCTAAAACCCTAAAACCCCCAAAAAACCCCCAAAACCCCTAAAACCCTAAAACCCTAAAACCCTAAACCCCTAAACCCCTAAACCCGAACCCCCAAGCCCGACATCCCTAAGCCGGAAGAAGTGGGAGCTAGAAGCAGGGTTTTTTCGCATCGGGGCAGGGCCAGAATTTGCTGTTCGGCTCACCATCCAGCTCGCCCTCCAAAGCTCGCGGAGAGCTTGGCTGCTCTAGGGATTAGGGTTCGGGTTTAGGGTTTAGGGTTCAGGGTTCAGGGTTTAGGGTTTAGGGTTTAGGGTTTAGGGTTCAGGGTTCAGGGTTCAGGGTTCAGGGTTCAGGGTTTAGGGTTTAGGGTTTAGGGTTTAGGGCTTAGGGTTTAGTAATCTTGGCAAGAGATGAGAGTTTTGGGATGTTTAGGGTTTGGGGTCTAGGGTACATGTGCCTACATGTCTCCACATGTGCTTGCATGTGTTTACAGGTGTTTAGAGATCGTTTGGGGTTTAGGGTTTTGGGTTTAGGGTTTAGGGTTTAGGGCTCAGGGTGTAGACGCATCTCCGCCGACGAGAAAAACCTGAGCCTGTCGAGGACGAGGAGCACGTGGCGACGGAGCGCAGAGCCTGGGCAGCCCAGTGGTGCCCTTTACACTTCTTTTAGTTCAACCCTAAACCCTAAACCCCAAACCCCAAACCCCAAACCCTAAACCCTAAACCCTAAATCCCTTATAAAGTAACCAACACCCAGAAAAGGGTGCCCTTATTACATTCTGGTTACTGGGCTGCTAAGGAGCTTCCGAAGCTTTCAAAGCACAAAGCTCCTGGAAGTCTGCGCCGACCGAAGAGAGTTCTGCGCACGCAGACTTTCGGTAGCCCAGTGGTGCCCTTTGTTTTTTTCTAATTCTTTTTTGTCTGGTTATGGTTTCCCTCATAAAATATCCAACCCCTAAACCCTAAACCCTAAACCCCCCCAAAAAAGTGCCCTTTATATATGGTTACTGGGCTACCAAGGACTTTCCGGACAGAGAACCGGAGGGTTGGCCTGCGCTGAGCGATGTGGACCCAGGCTAAGGGGGGTATAAGGGGGGGCATACAGGGTTTAGGGTTTAGGGTTTAGGGTTTAGGGTTTAGGGTTTAGGGAGTAAACGCCAAAAAGTTGGAACATCCTTCTCCCCCCATACCCCAAAAGGTCTAGTAAAGGGAATCCCAGCTCAAGTCATCCTTAAACCTGAGGGGGGGGGGTATGACGGGGGTGTAAGGGGGCTATAAGGGGGGTGTAAGGGGGTATATGGGGGGGTACAAGATGGCTTGAGACACTGCGGTAGGCCTTGAAGACGTGCTGGCGTGGCAAGATGGAGCGGCCTGCCTTGCGGAGCCGCAGAAGTCTTGTGATCATGGCTTCCCCTACTACCCCCCCCCCCCCTCTATACTACCCCCGGGTTAGTTAGGGATAGTTAAGCCTAATTAAGGTGACTTATGGGGGGTAGTATAGAGGGGGGGTGGTAGGGGAACCCATGGCGTCAGGGTTTACAATTGATGCCGAGTTTGTAGTTCGTCCCATTCCGGAGGTGCAACATGTAACTTAAAGCCCTACACTGTGGGATGGTCCCCCTTATGCAGTCCTTCATAGGGATTCATTAGTAGGGGGTACTATCAGCCCTACTTGTAGGGCTCTGAGAAGAAGGGAGAACATCCCAGCCTTACACTGCACCCCTGAACCCAGGTTCTTGCCCTCCATCTTGGCAATGCTGTCGAAGGGGTGTCTGAAGAGTGGGACTTGGACAAGAAGCCCCTTGGGCATTCCCAGCTAGTCCCCCGCCCTCCTCTTCCCCCCAAAAACAAAATCCCTGAAGGCCGGATTGAGCCAAAGGGGTTTAGGGTTTAGGGTTTAGGGTTTAAAGCACCTGAATCCCCTTACACTACTTTTGAGGCGCACCGTGAAGCCTACGATGCCCTTGTTGGCCTCGGCAAAGCCCGCCAGGCTGATTTCCGTCGAGGTTGCTGTGCAGTGGGCGATCACAGGCTCTCCGCTCTCTCCGCTCGCAGTGGCTTTCAAAAATCAACCTCAAACGCCCACCTCCTTCTCGGCCTCCAGCCATCGTTGTTTGGTCACAGTAGCGGACCCTAAACCCTAAACCCTAAACCCTAAACCCTAAACCCTAAACCCTAAACCCTAAGGGATGTTGCTGCGAGCGGGGGCGGGTCCGGTCAGCTGCATGCAGGCCAGTGGCTCCGACCAGACACATCCTGCAACCACTTCATCTGCCTTCCCATTCACCCGCGGGATGCAGGCGCCGAAGCCCGCAGAAGCGTGTTTTCCCAACTTGGTGTGGGGTTTAGGGTTTAGGGTTTAGGGTTTAGGGTTTAGGGTTTAGGGTTGCGGGCTACATTCCGATGCCCTCGCTGCGCCATGGCTCAAGGTGGTCTGTCTGATGGCATTGGCGGCAGCAGCGAGGTGGAGACATCCGCCGACATGGACTTCTTCTTGGCAGGCCTGTGCAGATCCTTCTAGCCTCAAGTCGTACCCTGAATCCTAAATCCTAAGCCCTAAACCCTAAACCGGCCATGGAAGGCCACATGCGGGGCTGCCCCTCCTGGTTTCCGACGTGTGAGTTTCACGAGGCTCGAAGTCTGCAAGAGAGGTCAGAAGAGTAAATAATGAATGTCAGTTTCTTCTGTGTGTCCTGGCTTGGAGGTTCGTGGTACTTAAGAACTGCACTTAATAACCCAATTATTGCCATACTAGAGCAGTTGAAGGGCTTATAAGTGGGTGATAAGGACAGCTATTATTGGGTTACGAAGTACCATTGAACCTCCAAGTGCACATAGTACGCAGAGCACGCTATGGCAGTGTCCACAGGTGTGTGCATGCTCGAATCCGTCTGAGCACCGACAAAGGCGGAGAAGCGTGGAGGGCAGATGCTGTGCCCCTTCGAGCTGGAGGTTTCCCCGGGGGGGGTACTATAATCCCTAAAGGACTGTTAGTATATAAGGGGGAAACATAAATAAGCTGGAGGTGATCGTATGCACTGGACTGCGCGCAGTGACTTCTGGCCGCCTCGTACGGCGCTTGGAAGCCAGAGGGCTCTTCTCCTTTGCAAGCGTTGCAAATCCTTTGCAAGCGCATGGCCTCCAGCAAGTCAGCCTTTGGCGTCGGCTGAGGTGGGGACTCAACCTGTGGAGTCCCGCGACGATGTCGTCTGCTTTAAGCCACGGGGCCATATCGACAAGCTTGCGTTTAGTAGTACCCTAAGGCTCCAAATGGCCCAAAGTAGGTATTGCTTACAGACTTTAAACCTCAATGTCGGCATAATTTATAAACTTGGAGCCCTAGGGATAGGCTTTTTCCAGATCTTTTTGCGGTGGAAAGTTGCCTGACCGCTGGCGTGAGCCTCCTCATGGCACCTGAAAGTCAGGTATGTCGAGCCTCTTCCCTTGGCTCCACATGACGTCCCGCTCATTGTTGGGCCACTGGCAGAGGAGGTCTATGACAAAGGCTGGGTATAGCGGCCTAAACCCTAAACCCTAAACCCTAAACCCACTTCAGTCCACTCTTCGATAAAGAAATCGCTGGTGCAAGGCCGACTGTTGGCTCCTCTGGGCTTCGAGGTGCGGCCTCTGCAGATATGAGACGCTGTAGACGTAATTGGGCAGTTCTCTCTAAGCTAGGGTTTGGGGTTTAGGGTTTAGGGTTTAAGGTTTAGGGTTTAGGGTTTGGGGTTTCGGGATCCCTTTTCTTAGAAGGGTGCTGGGTAGTTCTCGAAATGGGGGTTTTCGACATTAGGGTACCTTATTGGGGCCCTTATTATAGGGGAATCCGACTACTTGGAGTCTACATTAAGGGTATCGTAAACCCCCAAAATTGGGGTCCATTTTTAGAGGGTGCCGCCTTATAATGTGTACCCAAAGGGACCCTAACCCAACTTCTGGAGCTTGCTCGAGAATGTTGGGGATATCTGAGAACAGGGGTACCCTCCTCGGGGTCCTTTTTTGTCAGGGTGGGAGACCCCTCATGCTGGGGATAGGGGTCTAAAAGATAAAAGGATCAAACATAAATATGAATAGATATAAAAAACCTAAACCCTGAGCCCTAAACCTTGAACCTTTATAAACCCTAAACCCTGAACCCTAAACCCTAAACCCTAAACCCTAAACCCTAAACCCTAAACCCTAAACCCTAAACCCTAACGCCTAGCCCTAAACCCTAAACCCTTAACCCTTAACCCTTAACCCTTAACCCTTAACCCTTAACCCTTAACCCTTAACCCTAACCCTCAACCCTAAACCCTGAACCCTGTACATTGAGCCCTAAACCCTACCCTAAACCCTAAACCCTCGGTTGTTTATGTTTTTTGATCCTTGTTGAATTTTTCTTGATCCGACAGCCCTCATGTTGGGGATATCCAGTTAAACCCTAAACCCTAAACCCTAAACCCTAAACCCTAAACCCCCAAAGGCATTTTTTTCCAAAGAGCCCTGAGAGGCGCTGCTGCGCCTGGCTGCGCCCGGCACCGCGGCGGCGCTGCGAGGCGTTGAGGAGGCGCCGCTCGGCTTAGCTCCCGGGAGTGCTCAGAGCATTTAGGGTTTAGGGTTTAGGGTTTAGGGTTTAGGGTTTAGGGTTTAGGGTTTAGGGTTTAGGGTTTAGGGTTTAGGGTTTAGGGTTTAGGGTTTAGGGTTTGGGAGCTTCCGATGTCATGGTTGTGTAAAAATCAGCAACTTACAAAGCAACTTACAATAGTCATTTATAAGATTTTTCAGATTATAGTTTTATAACATTATAGTATTTCGAGATTACAAGGTTATAATATGTATTATAAGATTATAGTACTATGCTACTTAAATATGATAGTATTGTAATATTCTAATATGAAGATGTGGTAATATTGCAATATGATAGCATTCAATATTCGAATACTATAATATGGTAGTATCATCGTATTCTGAGGCACAGTCGACATTGCTGCTTGTAAGGGGGTAGTTGTTGGTTTGGCGGCAACGCCGAGGATCGATAGGGCAGGCGCTAAAATGATAGGGTTATTTGATACGATAGGAGAAAGGTGTGTTAGGTGAAAAGAATGGAAAGCCATAGTGGAAGGGTAGTTGAAAAACAAGGAATGCTTAAGCAAGTAAATTTGACGCCGGATGCGTTCCGTTCCGTTCCGTCCCGGCGTTCCGTTCCGTTTCGGCCTTTGGGGTGGCAAATGCCCCCCCCCCCCCTCTCAAGAGAGACAGAAACCCAACCCCCTAAACCCTAAACCCTGAACCCTGAACCCTAAACCCTAAACCCTAAACCCTTCGGCTGTTGGGAATAATGGAACCAGTGGCGGCCGAGGCTCGAACGCGCTTTGCCGCTGGCAGCTTGCACCGTAGCTGCATGACTTAGCTGCCCGCTCTAAACTTAGGGTTTAGGGTTTAGGGTTTAGGCTTCAGGGACGTGAGCGGAGGGATCGTGCAGTAGTCTCAGACATGCGTTGCGTGAGTCAAAAAAATGGGTCACCCTAAACCCTAAACCCTAAACCCTAAACCCTTAACCCTCTGAGCTCCGAAAGCCAGAGAGGAGCTGGAGCGGAGAGATGAAGCTCAACAAGACAGCGGATCCCAGAGACTCCAAAAACCCCTTAAGATCAAGGAATGTACCTTAAGTCATATTAGGGTTCCTACTACAATTTTAAGGTATATTCCTTAATGAAGGGGTTTTTGAGTCTCTGGGGAGTCCTGGCCCAGGATATCACATCAAGCTCAGAACCCATTGGGTCCCTGGAGCCTGGATGCTGCAAGCATTTTTACATCTCCCAGAGACTCCAAACCCCTTAATTAAGCAATATACCTTAAATTATAGTAGGAACCCTAATATGATTTAAGGTATATTCCTTGATTTAAGGGGTTTTGGAGTCTCTGGGCTCCGCAAGCCCATGCACACAGTAAGGGGGCGCATGTTCAAAAAAGAGCACGACGAAGACGTGACCGAGGCTTCCTTTGATTGCTTACTCAGAGTTCTTAGATGAGATGATAGTTCAAAATTCAAAGTAGATAGTCTCCTCACCAACATAGTTATAGTGTAATTATAATGCATAAGCAGTTATATATTATAATTGCATTAGAGTTACAACCCTTAACCCTAAACCCTGAACCAAATTCTACAAGAAACCCCTTGCCTATTTTGAGCTATGGCACCTGGATAGTAGTAAGTATTGGGAATAAAATAGTTCTCTTAAGATAGGTATTAGGTTGGTGGGGTGGGTGGTGCCAATAGCCTATCATAGGCAAGGTATCATCTAACTGGAGGGGGGTGGGGTGGGGGGTGGGGGGGGCTTCTTACTGCGCTGTCTCAGGCACCTCGCTGTTTCTGCCCTTGCCGCATTTGCGACCGGCAGCGCCGCCAAGACTCGCCGACGCCAAATCTCTGGGCAAGGTTGCAGCCAGCTGGGATGCCCGGCCACACGTCCCTGGGCCAACATCGGGTGTTGTGAGCCGGGGAGAGTTTCGAAGGAAGGAGCCAAAGAGAGCATTTAGGACAGTTTAGGGTTTAGGGTTTAGGGTTTCGGATTTAGGGATCCGACTTCTCACGACGTTTGGCTGAGGGCTCGAGCCTGCCCTGCTTTGATATCCATGGCGGCGTCCACCTGCTCGACTTGTCACTTTTGGCCAGTCGCTTGGTTGGCACAAGTTTTTTGGGGGAGAACTCCGCGTCATGTTGCGAGAGGGAGGCTAATATAGGGGTCGGAATCATGACTGATAGTATTCCCTTATAGACCATTTATATTTATAGTTATACCATAATAGCCCCCTTCCAAAACCCTATTCTAATCTTTCCTTTGTGGTGCTTTACTGTAACTTTAGATCTTTAGCCTTTTTGGGCTTGTTGGGTTTCTTAACAAGGCAGCAAAAATTTAGTTTATAGCTACCCTCCTAAGTGCAGCCAAGTTTCATTCCCCTATATTATCCGACGTTTGAGAACCTCTGCTTGGTTGCAAGGCTCGTGCCCCACCCTGTCCACGGCGCTGCTGCGACCGATCCAGGCCTATGCCTTTGCCACTGCTTGGCACGAGGCCTAGTGTGACAACGGCGTGCGTCTGTTTACGAAGCTGCGTGCAGTTTGCCGTCTTAAGGTGCGACTGTACAGCTTTGCCAGCCTAACCAGCCTTGCCCGAGGTTCGGCATCTCAGTACGCCTCGACTCGGAAGAGCATGCCTGGCTATTTCATGGCTTGTGCCGTCTGTTATCAGACAGCTCGCTGATCAAGACGTGGCCAAGTGGTCTTGCAGAAGCCGAAGCTTCGCTGCAAATGGACTTCATGCCTGAAGACAGGCACGTCATTGCTATATCCCCCTTGGGAAGTATTTTTTATTTTTGTTTATATCAAGCCCCAGAGGATATTAAACATATTATGCATGGAGGTTCTAAGGGGAGTAGAGATTGCGCTTGTGTGGCGTTGCTGTGTCCAGCTGCCCAGGAGGTCGCTGCCAAATTGCGAGAGGAGGGTCGCCGGCCTTGAATATGCACCACCGCATTTGAAACAGAACATGGGTGTTTCGTGCTAAAGCTCGGGGGGCAGAAGCGCCATACCGCAGCTCCCCTCCTCCCAAACCCAGAACCCGAACCCTAAACCCCAAACCCTAAAGTGACTTGTGCATGAGGGGTTGTGGCCCAGTGCCCGACAAAAGGGGCCGCTGGGAGGGTGCCCTCCTTCCTTTGCGCTGGGTGAGGCATCCACAAACTCTACAGGTTTCGGGTTTAGGTTTTAGGGCTTAGGGTTTATGTTTTAGGGTTTCGGGTTTAGGGTTTAGAACGAATCACGTACTTGAAGGGCATGGGACCTGGGGGGGGGTTAGAAGCAATTGTTCATGAGGCCAGCTGTACTGGATGATAGGTAGGAGACCCTCGAGTCATAAACATGACATTGTTTCACTATAGAATTCAATGATATAAGTAAATTATATATATATATATATACAAATGATTATATATGTAAGTTTTTACTTATTTATTTGTACCATTATGTTACTATTCCATACATAGTAGTATATAAGTATACTTGAGGGGTAGAGCCATGCTCCTGGCGTTGAAGAGCCATCGTGGAGCGCTTCAGGTCAGCTGTGGCACGCCCAAGTGGAGGCTGGTCGAGATGATCAGCCGCTCGCTTCGGGTACCCGGGAGCTGCCACCCTACTCCCCAGGCCGACATCTACACGAACGTAAGAGTCTGCGAATAGAATACTCTTGTCATAGTAATGTGGAAATATACTAATGTAGTAATACAGAAATATGTTCATGGAGTCATATAGTCATATAGGCATATAGTCATATAGTCATAAAGGAATATAGTCATATAGTAATATAGGAATATAGGAATATAGGAATATAGGAATATAGGAATATAGGAATATAGGAGTATAGGAGTATAGCAATATGGCAGTTAGTAGTAAAAACATAGTTGTATAATCGTATCGCAGATATGTAGTAACATAGCTTTTTAGGAATATACGGTGTGCAACTACATCACATGATGCTTTCTATACCGTGTGGAGTGTCAAAGTCTGCTCCAAGAACCCTAAACCCTAAACCCTAAACCCTAAACCCTAAACCCTAAACCCTAAACCCTAAACCCTAAACCCTAAACCCTAAACCTATCTCTGGAGAAGAGGCATCTTGGGGCAACTGCTGGGTCCGGTCCGAGAGCTGAAGGCGTACCTGGTGTGCCATGAGCTGTGCAGGTGGGTACACGTTTAGGGTTTAGGGTTTAGGGTTTAGGGTTTAGGGTTTAGGGTTTGGGGGTTGGGGTTTGGGGTTTGGGGGTTGGGGTTTCGGGTTTGGGGTTTGGGGGTTGGGGTTTGGGGTCTCAGGGCTGGGGGGGCGAACTGCTGTCCACTACTTGCCCGCTGTTCCTCACACGTTAGGTAGCAGCTGCGTCCTTTGCTCATGGTGCCGCGGGCTCCCTCAGAACATCTGTTCGTCATGCATGTGCTGAAGCCACCGAAACCTCTTTCTCCGTCAGACGCAGGAAGCTGGAATGGGACCACTTCCACAAGAGGCTGTCAGCCATCTGGGACACATGCGGGCGATTCTTGACCACTCCACAGTTCCTCGGGCAGCTGGATGCCGACGACGCAAACCCTGGGAGCATGAACCACCAGCTGCGGGACATCCGTTTCGGATGCGAGTTTTCTTCCGGAGCAACTTAGGGCTGTGCTTCCAAGGACACGAGGTCCAGAGTGAGGTCATCCCTTTCAGCCCTCTGAACCCTGAACCGATGTATCCATGCCCTAAACCCTAAACCCTAAACATCCTAAACCCTAAACCCTAAACCGTATAACCCTAACAGGACTTTGCTTCCCAGTGGATCTACGGCCTGGGCTGTCCAGTGGTCCGCGTGGGTTGGTTCTACAACCAGGCAGGGGAGATGAGGAGTTTTTGGGAATCATGTGGGTGGTTGTCAAAAACTCGCCCGCCCACCCCCATCAATAACGTGAGCGCAAGTGACCCTGCCCGAATCATGTGGGCACAAGTGACGGTGATGCCCGAGATCCGGAGCAAGTTGGTGCTGCAGCTTTGGCGTGCATTGCCAGGTGCTCCATCGGCTCGAACTTTCAGTGTCGCAGCTGCCTCTCGAGCCCACACCTCTGCCGAAGCCGCCACCGCTTAGCTGGGTGCTCAGGGTCGCAGCATCACGCGTCCTCTGTGAAAGCCTCTGAGGTTTCATTGTCAGTCTTCGGACAGTGTGAGTGCAAGAAAGGGGCTGGGCTATTCTGTCTAGAGACTCGACCCCAAGCCCAAGTGGGGCCACCCATAATACACCCCCCAGAGAGCACAATCCTCATAACAGAAACCCCCCCCAAAAAGGGCACTCTATTGTCGTAAACCCCCAAGTGCTGGAGCCTGATTGGTATTTCCTGGAAGGTCAGATGACGAAGCGCGTTGGGAAGACGGGAGTTGGCTTCGGCTATGAGGGCCATGCATCGGCAGCTGCAGCTGTACAGGTCAGCCCGAGGGACGACGGTGACTGCTTGGGATCTTCCCCTTATCCTAACAGTCCTTAATGGGGATTATAGCACCCCCTACCCCTAAGGCTCCAAATGGGTCAGAGTAGGTATTATTTACAGACTTGAAACCTCAATGTCGATATAATTTATATACTTGGAGCCCTAGGGTACTATAATCCCTATTGAGGGCTGTTAGTATAAGGGCGAGCATCCCAAGCGACTGGAGAAGTTCTCTAGAAAGTTGGCATGCCCGTGATGGAGCCCGGACACACCTCCCGCCTGCACCCCATGCTTTTGTTCCTCTACTTGGAGGTTCATGGTACTTACTAACCAACTATAACTGTAATTATAACTGTACTTGTAACCATCTTAGGGCAGTTCAGGGGCTTTTAAGTGGGCTATACGTACAGTTAGAGTTGTTTTGTAAGTACCTTGAACCTCCAAGTAGCGCTGCCATAGACCATGCCTTTCATGGAATCCATGCGTACGTCCAGGGTGCCGGCTATCGGAAATCATCGGGGTTTAGGGTTTAGGGTTTAGGGTATAGGGTTTAGGGGGAAGAGCATTTTGTGCACTGACTCATGGTGTTGTTTGCCCGCCAGACCGTGAGCGTCGACGCACAGGCGGCTAAGAAGGCCCCGAGAGAGTGGCAAACATTCGGTATGTGTGGTGTCCCATTTCCCGGCTTTGCCTGGCACTCTGCGCAAGTCACTTCCTAAGCCCTAAACCCGAAACCCTAAACCCTAAACCCTAAACCCTGAACCCTAACCCCCAACTTGTTTTTGCTCCTTTCGCAGGTGCCCTTCAAGTACTGGTCCGGCACGCTGGTGCTGGACATCCATGCGAAGGACTCCGACACCCCTGGCAGGGTCGAGATGGAGCTCTCTGGCCCAGAAGAAGGCGAGTTTGAGCTTGGGCCGTTTTCTTCTCGTTATTGTTATTCTGATTACTACTATTATTCGTAGTATTATTATTCTGAGTAGTAACTATGATTATTATTGTTGTTATTGTTATTATGATTGTGGTTTGCGCTTCCAACGCCGGGTCTTTTGATTTCAAGCGCAGCCGGTCAAGCCAACCTACTACTTATATCCTACTGGGGAGCTTATAAGTACAGTTGGTTATAAGTACCCATGAACCGCCTAGTGAGGCCCTGAAAAGGTTCCAGAACCTTTACCCTCGACCTCCCTGAGCCCTACAGTCCGCGCAAACTCGCTGCTTCCGCCGAAAGTGGACTGCCCGCCGCTGTCCCGGCAGGAGACAGCGAAACAAGGGTCCACAGCAAAAAGCTGAGAGGGTTGGCCGGTACTTTCGTTCCTGCCTTTCTGCAGAACACAAAAGGGAGAATCAACTGGTGCATCCCAACGGTGAGGGAACATGAAGGAGTGAAGCTCTTCAGGGGGTCCCGAAGCCCTAAACCCTAAACCCTAAACTCTAGACCCTAAACCCTAAACCCTAAACCCTAAACCCTAAACCCCAAACCCCAAACCCTAAACGAAAAGGAGGCGGAGCTGCCTTCGGGCCTGGCTTTCCTGGTGCCAGGGCCCCAGCTGATGCACTGGCCTCTCGTCCGCCTCGAGATCGCCCAGCCGCTGGACTTTTGGCAAGGCCGGAGACCTTCGGACATGATGATGATGATGATCTGATGGTCTGATGATCTGATGATGATGATGATGATGATGATGATGATGATGATGCTTATGATGATGATGAGGAGGATGAGGATGAGGATGAGATGAAACTAATAGTATTACTTGTTACTATGATTGTTGTTATTATTCTCATAGGTATAATTATGAGTACTAATACTATGATTCATCCTTATTAAATATTCTCAAGCCGTCTAAAAAACCCCGAGCAATTGCCAGGCATGCTGCGCAACTCCGCGGCACCGGCTGCCGAGGCAGACGCGGCCAAGGCCGAAAGTCTGCAGAGGCTGTCATGTTTAGGGTTTAGGGTTTAGGGTTTGGGGTTTAGGGTTTAGGGTTTCATGTTTAGGGTTTGGGGTTTAGGGTTTAGGGGGGGATGTGGTTGTTCACGGCTTGCCTTCACGACGTGTTCACTGCGCCCCGAGTGGCAGTTGCCTTCAAGCTGTTAGATAGTGGTCACTTCTTTGAAATATCGGGGGGGGGGGGGGGGGGGGGTCCTTAACATAAGTCGGTCCCTCTTAGATAGGGGACACAAACACCATATCACAGTGCGCCCAAGTGACGCCCTCCAATTGCAGGCCATTGGCGACATGCTGGAAGCCGGGCAGCTTCCATCTGGTGCTGCGATGTCAACTCTTTTGCAGGCGACGGTGCACAAGTAGCTAATCCAGGGGTCGGAGCAATTACTCATGCTTTACCCTTATGGTCCCTTTAGAATTCGACTAGAATAACCCCCAAAGCCCTATTCTAATTATTAAGGCCCCTAGGTTTCTTGCCATGAATCCATGAATCCCGGCGCTGGAGCTGCTCTTATGATGCGGCTGCGAGGCCCTCTCTATCCCTTTGAAGGATGGGGGCTGGCATGAGATTACCTGTCCGCCCCTCAGGCGTCAGCTTACACCGCTCGTGGTCATGTCGCACTGGCTGGCTCCTAATTAGTAGGGAATGAAGGAATGAGGTACCCTATCGAATCCCCTAGAGGGTATATATATATACATATATGTATATATATATATATATATTTTTATATTTATGTTTATTTATATATATATATATAGGGGCCCTCCTTCCCTCCTTCCCTACGAAGAACCAGGGAACCTCAGTGCTGCTCAGGCGTGGAGTGCGCGCTCACGCTCTGCCGGTGGGCCCTGAAGCTGCAGAAGGGGAGCGCTCTCCGCAGCTCGCTCTTCAGGCACCCGCGGAATGGGGGTTTAGGGTTCATAGGGTTGGGTATGGGGTTTGGGGTTTGGGGTTTAGGGTTTAGGGTTTAGGGTTTAGGGTTTAGGGTTTAGGGTTTAGGGTTTAGGGTTTAGGGTTCCCCTAATATACCCCGAATAGGAGAATCCTTATGACAGGACCCCCCCCAAAAGGGTACCCCCATTTTCGGAAACCCCCATGTCAGAACTGGCGGCCATGGACCCCGCTGTTTGGGACCTGTCACTCTTTCTCTCTTTCTCCGTCGTGCTCTCTACGTCCATCCGTTCGCTTGGTCTATCTCTATCTATATCCCTCTTGGAATTTTGTTGTTGTTTTTATTGGTTTTTATAAAACCAAAGAAGATATTAAAAGTATTATGTTTATTAAGGTTCTAAGGGGAGTATATCTCTTCCCCACACAACGCATATACAGTACACATCTCTCCATCTAGTCGAGCGCCAAAAAGAGTGCGATCACTGTTGGGTCACTTGAGTTGGGAGCAACGCTTGCATAGGTGCAGCTCGCAATCACGCTATCGCCTATGCTTGGAGGTTCATGGTACTTATTCACCAATCATAACTGTATAACTGTACTTGTAACTCTATTAGGGCTCTTAAGAGGCTTACAAGTGGGTTTACAAGTACAGTTATGATTGGTTAATGAGTACCATGAACCTCCAAGTGTCCCATGCAGTCAGCGGATCTTCACCTGGTGTTTCGAAACTGTGCTCCCAGGATGGGCCATTAGGCCCTATAATCGCCAAAATCAAGCCTCTAAAGCAAGGCCGACGACGGCAAGATTAGGGTTTAGGGTTTAGGGTTCCGGGTGTAATTCGGTGTAATCCACGAGTAACCCTAAACCCTAAACCCTAAACCCTAAACCCTAAACCCTAAACCCTAAACCCTATACCCAAACCTGCCGCGTAGCACCAGGCCACTGCACGAGTTCCTGGGCCGCAAAGCAGCCTGGCAGGCTGACACAGGCACCTAACATGGGCTTTTCCCAAAATAAGGGTACCCTTCACTACAGTTTAGGGTTTAAGGTTTAGGGTTTAGGGTTTAAGGTTTAGGGTTTGGAGTACCTCTTCTATACCCCAAATAGAATAGACTCCCCTTAAAGGGACACCCACATCAAAGGGTACCCCTTCTTTCAGAAACCCCCACATGTTTCTTCTCAGAGATCTTGGGGATCTTCGGGGGCATCTGATGTACGGCTCCTGAGCATCGCCACAATGCTGCACTTTGTGGTGTGTGTGTGTGTGCAGTCAGAGGCTGCAGACACGGAAGGGTGTTGATCTGGAAGCAAACATTCCGGCTTCTGTTTTTTGCCTGCCAATGATCGGGATCCTGACTTGGAGAGCAGCCCTAAAACCCTAAACCCTACGAAGGAGTGCACGTTGCGTTCATCTGCGGCTTGGGGTGCGGGGTCTGATTCCGCCTTGGAAGGCATGGCCCGTGTGCGGATGCAAGTGGCAAGGCCGCTGGGTTAGGGTTTTAGTTTAGGGTTTGTTGGGTTTTTGGTTTTTTTGTTTGGGTTTGTGGTGTTGCAAGGGCTTTTAGGGTTTTTTTGTGCTTTAAGGGCTTTTCCCCACCCTCGGTGTGGGGTTGTCAGATTTTCCACTCAACTCTTCTCCTGGCCCGGAACTCTTCTCCTGGCCCGGAACTCTTCTCCTCGCCCGGTCTACTCCTCGCTCATCCCTGGAGTCCCAACCCCAAAGTGTCCCTGGAGTGCCCCACCCTTGGAGTGCACAACTGGAGTGCCCAACCCCAGAGGCCCAACCCCAGAGTCTCCCTAGAGTGCCTGTCCCCGGAGTGCCCAGCCCCAGGGTCTCCTTGGAGCAAGCCCAGAGTCTCCCGTGCCCAACCCGCCCAACCCCAGAGTCTCCCTCGAGTGCCCAACCCCACCAGAGTGCCCAGCCCCAGAGTGTTGCTGGAGTGCCGGGCCCAGCCCCAGAGTGTCTCTACCCAGAGAGGGTGGGGATGTTCGAAGTAAAATAATTTGGGTTCTTGGGGTTTGTAGGGTTTGTAGGGTTTAGGGTTTCGGGTTAAGGTTTAGGCCGACTTCTTGTGTAGGGTCCAAACCCTAAACCCTAAACCCCCCAACTGTATAATCCCGACTTCGTGCCAGGTGCCTTCAGGGCCGCGCGTTCCGAACGCTGGAACTGTGCCCTTGGCTGTCAGTATGATCTGCATGACAACCCCAGACAGCCGCAGGGAGCATCCAAGAACGAGATCGGAACCGTGTCGTACTGGAACCCTCAACCCTACGTCGCAAAGAATGCGAGTTCTCGAAATTTTCGCACGGTCCGTTCTGGGCGTTCCGGTCATGGTTTGGAGTCTTCTGTTTGGGCCGCCGACCGACGTTTCAGCGAACTGCCCCCCAAATTCATGTCACCCTTTTCCCCTCACTTTAGGTGGCGGCACTGCCTACCTCTTGAGCTCTGCTACGAGTCACCGCGTGAGGAGCGCTACGAGTCACCCCGTGGAAGCTGCCTTTCTAAAGGGTGGTGGATCGGGTGACTGTGCAGACAACAGCGGTTCACTCGATTGTTGCTTGCCTGTTAGGATTGCGCGCAAAGAGCAATTATATATTCATATATATATATATACACATATAGATAGATATATATATATATATACACATATAGATAGATATATATACATATATATGTGTATGTATGTATGTCTCCAGGTGGATGCAGTCTGTGAGTCTGCGAGGACCCTTTGGGCATTGCGTCCATCGAAATTCAGCGCGATGTGCCCCAGAATTCCCGAACCGACGTTCCGGGCGCTGTCGTCAAACGCCTGCAGCTGGAATCAGTACCTCTGGACTGACCCTAAGCCCGCAACCCTAAACCCTAAACCCTAAACCCTAAACCCTAAACCCTAAACCCCTGCAAACTAGGGAAGGTAATTCCTGCTAGGTGCGTCTCCAAAATTTTGGGGCTCCTTCTGAGTACCCTACTCACAATGCTCCGGTTTTTGAAGCAGCATCCCCAAACACTTGGGGATACTAGGAAATAATTCTGAATTTTCGGGTACTATATAGCAAAAGCGGTCATGATGTAGAGCAGCTTCCATGAAGGTCACTCCGCAGACGTTGTGTTTTTGGAGTTTGGTACGGCGCAGGCAAAAGTGGCAATTTGTGACCCTGAACCCTGAGCCCTGAACCCTAAACCCTAAGCCCTAAACCCTAAACCCTAAACCCTAAACCCTAAACCCTAAACCCTAAACCCTAAACCCTAAGTCAGTCTTTCAGTCGGCCCGTTACTTCGGCCAAGGCACTTCCCTCCGAAGGGCATCGCTTGGCGGTTGCCGCCGTGCGAATTGTACTGGGCCTGTGTGCGCGCGGGCAGGCTCTGACTTACTTAGCCAAGAGGTGAACTTTAAACTTCTGTGGGTTTCCTTGTGTAGTTGGAATGAACTCTAAACTTTTGTGGGTTTCCTTATTTCGTAGGAATAGTCAAGTTTATCGTGGTTATTGGAGAAGCAGGCTCTGAGGGCTTTGGTTATCCACCCAGAGCCCCAATGAGAGAAGACGGCGAAAACCCGAAGTCTTATATCCTGACGGAATATATTACATATTATATATCTATAGATCATACATTATACGTATATATATATATACATATGTATATACGCCATGTATATGTTTATGTATATATATATATACACTCTCTACAGCTCACCACTCTTTTTCAGGCTGCCCAGCGCTGGGATGACTTCCTGGATAAGGTGCCCAGCAATAAGGGCCCGAGCCCACTGCGCGAGGCCTACGCCAAGGCACGCTGTTTTGCCCGCGCCCTCCACAAGCACTCCTTGGGGTTTAGGGTTTAGGCTATAGGGTTTAGGGTTAGGGTTTTAGGGGAGCTCACCTCCCTCAATCCTCAGCCCTAGACAGACTTCTTACCCTCAACCCTTCCTCAACTCTCAACCCCTTAGTTGAGCACTCGCATCCGCGGACACAATAAACTCCAGGACCAGGTTTCTGGGCTCAGAGGTGCACGCGATTAGGGTTTAGGGCTTAGGGATTAGGGCTAAAGCTCCGCGAAAGCAAGCTGTTTTTTCGTGCCGGGACAAAGAGGTTTAGACCAGCTGCCAAGAAATGCCCTGAAGTTCCATTACCGTGAAGCACCTCAAGCCCCAAACCCTCAAAAAACCCCACATCCCAATGCCAACTAACAGGCGTGGGGTGTTCTCGGCCCGGCGCCAAGCCACCTGCAGGTTCGGAGGTTTAGGGTTTAGGGTTTAGGGTTTAGGGTTTAGGGTTTAGGGTTTAGGCTTTAGGGGCTTCTGGCGTCATGGTGCCCCGAATAGGACCCCGAATATACGCCTCAACCTACTCGGATCCCTATCCCTATTCTAGGAACCCCCTCGGAAAAGGTACCCCGGTTTTTTTTGGAAACCCCCAGTTCGGGTACCTATTCGCTGCAAAAGAAGTCATTTTGTACGACGATTTGAGGGTGTTGGGGCTTATAGGGCTCTAGCGTGACCTTTACATGGGTTTCAGGAAATCCTAAGTGACCTACATTGACCTGTTCTCAGAGCCAAACACGCTTTGTTGCAGGCAAGCCTATCTCAACGACTTAAGGGTTCGAGCTGGGGGCTTCTTTCTTCATCCGCATTCGGTTGTCTTCGCCAATCTGGGGTGATGTGCCCTAGTCGTTTGTTCCCATCGCCTGATGTGTGGTTAACTCCAGGCCTTCGTGTCTAGGAGAAGCCAGCACAACCAACTAGCCAAGTCAAGGTCCGCGTTGTGTTGAACATGTTGTCAGCGATAGGAAGCTGTGGGCGCGAGCTGGTTTTGCACCCGAAAGTATGAATGATCAAACGCACGCAATGTGGAAGTTCGAGCCAAACACACACACACACAAACAAATGCTTGTCCAGGCAGTTTCTAATTCGACACGGTCCCCAATAAGAGGCCCACGGTCCCCAATAAGAGGCCCTAACCCAGAGCAAGTCCAGTTCATCCCTGATTCATCTCGGCCTCGGCAGGCGTTTGCAGATACTCCGAGCAGCACGAGCGTTCGGTGGAATCGCGCCGTTCGCCGGGAAGCATGTGGTGCAGCTTGCCAGTGTCTCGCCCTCAAGCCAAGCTGTTTTGCTGAGAGCCGAGTAGCTCGTTATTATTAGTATATATACATATATACTATACAAGTATATATCATATATGAGACAGTTTATAAATCAATAAATAAATATAAATATAAATATGAATATTTATATGAATATGAATATGCATATGAATATGCATATGAATATGAATATGAATGTGAATGTAAATCTAGTTATATTATATAAATATAAATATGCATAATATTAATATAACTACAAATATAAATATAAGTAAAAGTATAAAGATAAATATACTTATAAATATAGTCATAATTGCAAATATAAAAAAAACTACATATGTATATCTGTATATATGTGTGTGTATGTATATACATACGTATCTCTTCAAACTGAAGTGGTTGCTGCCAATTCATACTCACAAACCTCCATTGCGAGTCACACGGACAGAGCGTAAGGTGGCCAGGCTGGAACGGCACTGGATGCCGTCCGCCAGGTTTTGGCGGGCGACGTCTTGGACGAAGGCACCCAGAGAGCCCAATACCCCTTGATTAAGGTTAGGGTTTAGGGTTTAGGGTTTAGGGTTTAGGGTTTAGGGTTTAGGGTTTAGAGTTTAGGGTTTAGGGTTTAGGGTTTCGGGTTTCGGGTTTCGGGTTTCGGGTTTCGGGTTTCGGGTTTCGGGTTTAGGAATATACCGTAAATCATATACAGGATTATAAATTATTCCTTCCTTAAGTAGGGGTATTGGGCTTTCGGGGTACTCCGGGCACTTACAGCCAGTTTCAGCCCAGATGGGTCTCTTCTGATCGAGGATTTGTAAGGTGAGCTGTTGAAATCCACCACTGGGGGGCCCATGCAGGCCAAGGGTCCCTGCCTCCCCACTACTCCCCAAGGCTTTGTCTAAGCCTCCCTACCCATAAAACAACCCTTTTCTAGCCACCAATCCCTAAACCATAAACCCTAAACCCTAAACCCTTGATCCGCAGCATGGTCGCAGGAGGTGAATGCCTGCAACGCGCAGTATGGGCCGCCGAGGCTCCACCCTCCGTAGACCTTTAGGGTTTAGGGTTTAGGGTTTAGGGTTTAGGGTTAAGGGGGGCCACTGAAGTTAAATGTGGCCGGGAGCGTGTGGTCACTTGTCTAACACCTTGCGGGGGTCCTTGTTGTAAGGCGGGCCTCTCTTCTTTTGGGTAACCCCAAGAAGGGACCCTAATTTATTCAGAATTTAGAGGACTGACTGTGTGAAATCTCATCAAGGTTGACAGAGGACTGACTGTGCGAAATTTCATCAAGGTTTGACATCAGTCCCACGTCGACAGCGTGACGCGGTTGCGACGGCAGGCGGCTTTGCTGCGCACTCCGCCGGGCAACCAGCTGACTGCCTCGGAGTCGGATTCGAGGAGGGCATGGCATGGTCTGCCCAAGCAGCTGATGGAGATCGAGAAGATCGAGGACAGGAGGGGTTAAAGTTATGTTCTTTGAAGTAGGGTTTGTATTACTCTTCTTGGTGAGTGTCTCTAAGGTTCCTGGTTAATCTTGGTGAGTGCATATACTGGGTGTCCTTTTGGGGATGCACGGAATGTTAATTGGGATGTTCTTAGTATTAGTAGGGATTCTGGTAGGGGGTACTATAATCCCTATTAAGGACTGTTAGTATAGGGGGGAACATCCCAAAAAAATGAGCCCTACTTCAATTTTGAAGGCCTAGCAAGAACGAGGGGAGAGAAGCAGGCAGTGAGACTGGGGAGGGACGAACTCAACCCCTCTTTTTCTGACTGGCTCTTACAAGTAGTAGGAATGAGGGAATGAGGTACCCTATATAGTCCCTTAAAGGGTATATGTAGGGCCCTAACTCCCTCATTCCCTACTAAGAACCAGGTCAGTTTTTGTTTCCTTCAGAGAGGATGGAAAGAAGCCCTGGCCTGCGCACCTCAGCAAGAATTTGCTGAAAGGACTTCCAGGGCCTCAGGAGTTTCCTGAGAGTTTAGCATTTCTGAGTTTTGACTTTAGGGCGTTGGCGTTTTGGGCTTTCTTTTGCATCTTTGTTTTTTTGTTTTTAGCTTTCGTGAATTGGGCGTCCGATGGCTGCCACAAGCCTTCCTCGTCCTGCCTGTGCACGCTGCGTATGCCTCCATGTCTCTGAGGCTCGTGGCTGCTATCCAGCCTACGCTTGCCCTGTACAGACGTACCACGGCAGCAGTTTGCATGCCGGTTGTCAGCTCATGTGGAGGTTTACGAACTCAGGGGCACCTTCTTGGGGCCCTGATTATAAGGCTAAGGGAATCCTACTCTTTGGGGACTGTTTTTAACCCCCCCCCCCCCCCCCCTAAACCCTAACCCTAAACCCTAAACCCTAAACCCTAAACCCTAAACCCTAAACCCTAAACCCTAAACCCTAAACCCTAAACCCTAAACCCTAAACCCTAAACCCTAAACCCTAAACCCTAAACCCTAAACCCTAAACCCTAAACCCTAAACCCTAAACCCTACCCCCTTCTTCGTGATTGCAGTCAAAAGGCGAGATGAGCCACTCTTCGCAGAAGCAGGTGCTGGGTGCCGGGAAGGAGATTTTTTTCAGCAGAGCTAGGGTTTGGGGTTTAGGGTTTAGGGTTTGGGGTTTAGGGTTTAGGGTTTAGGGTTTAGGGTTTAGGGTTTAGGGTTTAGGGTTTAGGGTTTAGGGTTTAGGGTCGCCTGACAAGCCCCAAGCCTATGACAAAACCGCCACCACCAGCATGGACATGCTCAGCCAGCCGGTTTCTGAAAAAAGTCTTTGGACGGTATGGAGCCGCCACACTATCAGCCCTACAGGTACCCCCCCCCCCTCCCTCCCTCCACCCTCCGCGAAGCTCCCTAAACCCTATACCCTAAACCCTAAACCCTAAACCCCAAACCCTAAACCCTAAACCCCAACAAGAATCTGTACACTCCTTCTGTTTGCTGGGAGGCGCGGCGAAGAGCGCCGGCCGACGGAGTCTTCTGGAAGACGCCAGGCCATAGCCTCGGTGGTTCGATGTGATTATTATTATTATTATTATTATTATTATTTGCGGTTTAGGGTTTAGGGTTTTGGGTTTAGGGTTTAGGGTTTAGGGTTTAGGGTTTAGGGTTTAGGGTCGTCTTCTTCTTGGGTGTAATTTAAATTGTTACTGGCGCTTGTATGGCAAGCAGGAACCAACTAGGGCCAAGGTTGCAATGTGCTTGTCGTTTTCGCTACTTGTCCAGTAAGCGAGCTGAAGCAGCAATACTCTGACATACTCTTGCACATACTAACAGTCCTTACTAGGAATTCTAGTACCCCTCGCCCCATTACAATCTTCTTAAGGACTGATAGTGTAAGAGGGCTAAACCCTAAACCCTAAACCGTAAAACCTTACACTAAACCCTCATCTTGCGCGTCGTGTTGCTCAGGTCTCTTTGCCGATATTGAGCCCTCACACCCGCACCATGCAGCGATCGCGGCCTTCCACATGCCGCCGGTGTGCCTGCCGGGGCTTCTGCTTGGATTGTTTAGGGTTGAGGGTTTAGGGTTTGGGGTTTGGGGTTTGGGGTTCTGATGTTGCGCTGTCCCTTTAAGATTGCTGGAGCCCAAGGGCTCCTTTCGACATGAGCGCTTCGGTCACAAGTCTCGCCTCAAGAGGTACAGTACCGAGTACTGCCCTATGAAGTGGTCGGCGGGACATTCTATCTGTAGGCAGCTAACTAGCAGACGTGAGTTTGTGGGTGCTAAAGTCTTTCAGGATATTGAGTTTCAAGCTATATTGAGGAAGCCAATGTAAACTAGTTTGTAGAGCCTCTTATTAAGCGCCTGAATTAGATATTCCAAGGCGCCAAGACGAGGGAGTAAGGACGGACCTCTGATTGTCGCCAAGCAAACTCTGGCGCCTTCTGTGCCTGACAGGCCAAAGCAGCCAGGATGGGCGACCGCGCCGCAGCACCGCCGTGATCCGTGATCGTTTCAAGGGAAGTTTCAGGATCTTCTGAAAAAAGTACGAATCGCTTGAAGTCATCCTGATCAAGCATCGCTGGGGCTGTGCATCACAAGGCGTTGCAGCCTCAAGTTCACAACGACTTGTTCTTGTTACTGGCCCTTGCCAGGGAAATTGGGGAGTTAGGGTCTCTATATGCTCCACTGAAGCGGCACAGGGGGATATAGGGCACATCAGTCTCAAATTAAACCCAAAACCCTAAACCCGAAACCCCAAACCCTAAACCCTAAACCCTGAACCCTAAACCCTAAACCCTAACTACTGAGAAATGGAGAGTGTCCATGACGCAAGCATCTGACCTCAGATCTTGGCTCGAGACGTCAAGTCCTGCGGGGCCGGGTGTTCCATTTGGCACGGCTCTCACAGGGCTGTTCAATGTTTCTTTGCGTGTGGAAGGTCCCAATATGTCCAGTCCGCATTGTCAGTAGCCTTCATCTTTTCTTTGTTCTTAGTAACATGCTCCTCAACTGCCACTTCCTTTGCCGACATTCTGGGTGTAGCTCAGCAGAAGAAGCTTCTGACACTGCCCAACAACCACGTGATCTTCGTTGTGTCCTCCCAAAGTTTTCTTGGCATCTCGCAGAAGTTCTCTCAGCAATCTAAAGAGCCTGCACGGCTAAGGCTGGCTCGAAAATGGCGCTCTCTACTCAGATGTTGCCACGACGTGTCTGTCAATCGAGCTTTCGCGGCGATTTTTGCGACACGTGTGCAGCTGGATCCTCGCACCCCAAGGGGAAACGACGACTTCGCAGTTGTCCGCAGCATCATTGAGGACCGTAACTGTGACCACCTTACAGTGCAGGATTTTGGGGCTAGAATGGCTGAACCCCAAACCCGAAACCCTAAACCCTGGACCACTGCACCAAAAGCCCTTAGTTGGGCGAGTGTAAGACCTGCAGCGGGAACAAGTGAGCCACGCATGTCGCGCGCGCAGGCGTGTCGCACTGAAGCACAGCCTTTCTGCACTGCCGGCGGTGTAGCAATCATCGCATTCACTGTGGTTCGAAGTTAGCCGCCGTTGTAGCCTTATCTGGACCAACCAGCCAGCATCCCATTACTAATTCATAGGGATGAATTCAAACCTATGGATGTCCTCTTTCGAAGCATGTAGTTAGCAGGGTAGGTTGGAGCATTTTGTATCCCTTAATCCATCTTAATCCTGTATATAATCCTTATAAATCTTTAATTTCATGTTTTTTAGGGCTCCCAAACCTACCCCAGATAGCATTTACACGAAGCAAAAAAACCCTCGATCCCAAGCCATGGTCACTGCAGCCATTGAGCATGTGCTGGTCAAGTTCCTTCAGCCGTACGTTGCATCCTCAGTCCCGAGATTTCTGCGGTTTAGGGTTCGGGTTTAGGGTTTCGGGTGTAGGGTTTAGGGTTTCGTGTTTAGGGTTTAGGGTTTAGTGTTTAGGGTTTAGGTCTTAGGGTTTAGGGTTTAGGGTTTAGGGGGTTGAGGTTCGACAGGTCGCTTTCACACGACGATCTGAAGCAAGAATGCATCTTTGCCCTGAAGCTGCTTCTGACAGTAAACCTTAAACTTACCCTATATATATATACTCATATATATATACACATATATGTATATATCATGATTTGAAATTGATTAAACACTATAATATGATGAATTGGTGAGGTCTGTTGATATTCTTGATGTCCCTATTTAAGGCCGTGAATGTTAAGGTTGATGGAATCGACAGCAACGACTTGCGTCTATCGCTGTGGAGTGGAAACCTGGAACTCAAAGACCTGAAGGCAGGGAACGTGGCGCAGTCTGGTGCATGGTGCTTGTGTGATCTTGTGTGATCTTGTATGTTTTAGTCATATTGCCGCGGCAACACTCGACCCCCAAATAGTAGAATTTCGTTATGCAAGGACCCTACAAAGGTACCCCTATTTTCCGAAACCCCCCCAGTTCGGCCTTTGAGGGACAAGAGGCTCTGCAACATGCGTCGCCTCTTGTGAAGTGCGTAGCTCTTCACATGGAGGGTGCCCCTTTTTTTGGCACTGCGCCCCTTTTTCAAAGGCCGCTTCAAAAGGGGAACTACCTTGGGATGTTCCACCTTATACTATCAGTCCGGAATAGGGAGCCCCCTACTATATTCCCTATGAAGGACTGTCCGTATAAAGGGGAGCATCCCAATAGAGCACTACCCAAAGAAACTGTTGTCTTTTGCAGGTCAAGGAGGATGTTCTGGGTCTCCTTGGTGTGGAAGGTCGCGACCTCAATTTAGGGTTTAGGGTTTAGGGTTTAGGGTTTAGGGTTTAGGGTTTAGGGTTTAGAGTTTAGGGTTTAGGGTTTAGGGTTTAGGGTTTAGGGTTTAGGGACTGCAGAAAAATTCGTGTCAGGTGTGCGGGTTCGAAATGGCCGAGTGCACCGAATCAACATCACCTTGCCAAGCAAGACAAGGCTACTTTCAGGCTGGTCGGGTTGAGGGCTTCAGGGTTTAGTGTTAAGGGTTTCGGTAAACCCTGAAACCTGAACCCTGAACCTTATACCTTATACCCTACACCCTTAACCGCAGTCAGTTTGCTCCTGATGGTCATGGTGCCCGTGCCGGTCAGGCAAGATCAGTGTTGAAGTTGAAGGCGTTCAGCTACAAGCTGAGCATCTCACTGAGAGCCTGGCAGAGTCTGTTCTGAGGACCTCGAAGATCGAGTTTGAAGCAATGTGTAAACCCTAAACCCTAAACCCTATCCCCTAAATCCTAAACCCTAAACCCCCGCAAACCCTCAGCAGGACTTAGAACATGAGTGGCGAACCATGGCAGGCAAGAGCCACCACTGTCAGGGTAGGTAGGGAAGTCAGGGGAAGCTCGCTTTCAGCCATTTCTCAAAATAGGAGTACCCCGAGTATTCTCCCAAATGCTATAATCCTAATAATGGGAATTGGAAACCCCCAAGAAGGGTACCCCTACTTTCCGAAGACGGTCATATGGGGGGTTTGCCAAATTAGGGTACCCTCTTTGGGTCCTTATTTTGAGGGAATCCTAGTATTTGGGGGTCTATTTTTGGGGTCCCCTATTTTCGGAAACCCTAAACCCTAAACCCTAAACCCTAAACCCTAAACCCTAAACCCTAAACCCCCATGTGCACAACCCTTTGCTGCGCACCAGGAAGAACATGAGGGACACCAAGCTGCAAGCGATCGAACTGCGCATGGCCCAGCTTCGGGTGTCTTGGACCAGGTTTAGAGTTTAGGGTTTAGGGTTTAGGGTTTAGGGTTTAGGGTTTAGGGTTTAGGGCAGAAGCCAAGATGGCGTTCGATCATTGAGTTGTCCGGGAGGTTTCAGTTACAAAGTTGTGCGCGCACTCACATGAGTGCAAATCACAAAGACACGTTAGCGTACATGCATATGTACACATATACACATGTATATATACATATATACAATGTCGCACAATAAATGTTCGAAACTTGTGACTACATGCATCTACTAAAAGGAGTGCAACATGAAGTCACTCCCCCTCCGCTTCCCAGGGTGTGGTGTTTGTGATGTTCTCTCGCCCCTGTGGTGTGGGTCTTCTGGGGTTTGTCTGTTGCAGACCCTCCCCCAGCCCCTCACCTCCCCCCGTCCGCCCCCCCTTGACTATGATGTTCTGAAGGAGTGTGTCAGGGCCGCAGATCAACGAGCATCAACGTTGCTAGAAGGGTGGCAGGGACACGGCGTTGTGATCTTGATGCTTAGACAAGTGTGGCTTCGGGGCCAAGATTGTGGCGTCTTGATGTCAAGAAACGTTTTGCAGTGCCCACGCTTGTTTTCTTTGGGGGGGGCGGATGCCAGGGCGAGAGTGGCAAGGGTGTAGGTACCCGGGGACTGGGAGTCCCAGATCTCTAACAAGGAATACGTGCAGCCACGCTGCAAGGACGTCTGGCGGCGCAAGCAGCAAGCGCAGGACAGGCCCTGAGCCAGCTTGCCACTCTCCAACCTCTGCCCACGTGTCCATCAGACTGGTTCAGGGTTCGAAGTCGGAGTCGGCTAATCTTGGGCGCCTTAAACCCTTATATAACCCCTAAAGCCCTAAACCCTAAAACCCCAAAGCCCTAAAACCCCAAAACCCCAAAATCCCTAAAAAACCCGATAACCCCCAAAAACCTCCAAAACCCTAAAGCCCCAAAATCCCCAAAAAAACCCTAAACCAGGTGCTCCGGGCCGCAGTGCAAGGGGCTTCAAGTACCAAGTTTTGTGGTCTGCCCTGAGACAGTCCACGAAAAAAAATATCGGGGGTCCCTTTGAAAGGCTTTGAAAGGGGTCCTTATGATAAGGCGCGCCCCTAAACCCTAAACTAACCCTAAAACCCGAAACCCTAAGCCCTAGGCCCCTTTCTTGAATTCGAGAGCGCGTCACATGACTCAAGCAGCAACGCAACAACAAGCCCTAGGCCCTATTATTGTCTGGGTACCCCCAGCCAAAAGGCACCAGAAACTGAAGAGAACTGACCAATATCGGATATCGGGCACAGGAAGCCTACGACCAAGCAGAGCCGGGCTTCGGCATCAGGCAAGGCTATGTGTAGGGTTTAGGGTTTAGGGTTTAGGGTTTAGGGTTTAGGGTTTAGGGTTCAGGGTTTAGGGTTTAGCGTGGGGTTTATGTGGGACCTGTAGGGTCAGTTTGGGACTAGAGGTATGTTGGTCAACTACCATGTATGTGATGCCCTGTCAACTGCAGGTTCGCCCGGCGCCTCGTGAACAATCTCAGATCCTCGGCTTCCAGGTCTGGGCATCTTGTAGGGTTTAGGGTTTAGGGCTTAGGATTTAGGGTTTAGGGTTTAGGATTGAGGGTTTATATAGAATTTAGGGCTTGGGCTTAGAGCCTTTGCAGATGTAGTGTCAACATTGGATGACACCAGACTCTGCAAGACCCTATGACAAAGTTCCATATGGCCACTTCTCTAAATTATGGTCCCCTTATTTGAGGTTACTAGCAATAGGGCGGCCCCGAATATATAGGGTATTCCAGAAGGGGAGCATGATTCTGAGAATTGACCCTATGTAGTTTACGGTGAGATGCTTCTTTGTCCCTAAACCCTAAACCCTAAACCCTAAACCCTAAACCCTAAACCCTACACCGAGGCCTCGAGCTGTCCAAGGTGGACGTCTCCTTCTCCAGCCTGAACCCCGCAGCTGTGGGCGCGGCGAAGATGACGTCACTCCAAGTGCTTTCCACCGACTGCTCCTTCCGGACAGTTTAGGGTTTAGGGTGTAGGGTTTAGGGTTTAGGGCAAGAGCTGCACGTTCGGGGTTCAGATGGCATGCGGGCATTGGGGCGTGTAGCTGGCTTGTGGCGCATCCACGGACGTTCTCTCGTGGCTAGATGAGGAGATTTGGGAAAGACGAGGTCCTGGAGACGAAGGGGTCTTCTTTGCGCCACGCCGGATAGCAGAGTCGGTTAAGGGTTTAGGGCTTAGGGCTTAGGGCAAAGGGTTTAGGGTTTAGGGTTTAGGGTTTAGGGTTTAGGGTTTAGGGTTTAGTGCGCAAGTTCCAGCAAGCCGGTGCCTTCCGAATGTTTGCAACCCTCACCCTTTCCGTCGTGGCAACCCCTAAGCTTGGGATGTTCCCCCCTGATACTGGCAGACTCCTTCATAGGGAGTCTAATAGGGGGGGGGGGGGCCTATTGCATCCCCTAGAAAGGAGCTGTTACTTGAGGGGGAGCATCCCAACCCCCTAGACCGTAAGCCCTAAACCCTAGACCCTAGACCCTAAACCCTAAAACCCAAAACCCTAAACCCAAAACCCTAAACCCTAAACCCTAAACCCTAAACCCTAAACCCTAAACCCTAAACCCTAAACCCTAAACCCTAAACCCTAAACCCTAAACCAAGCCTAAACCCAAAGGTACAAGATCCTGAGCTTCGACGGCCTCAGCTTGGCTTATGGGCAGTCGATGGAGGCTCTGGGGGGGGGGGATGCCGAAACTAGAAATGAAAACAGGGTTTAGGGTTTAGGGTTTAGGGTTTAGGGTTTAGGGAAGCTCCATCATAGAGGGGAGGGCATCATACCAGTCCCCTTTATGAATTGGTGATAGGTACATCATCAGGTGCCAAGCATGCTTTCCTACACCCTAAACCCAAACGCTTTTGGAACCGGGCAGCTTGGTTGCATCCTACGGCGCATCATGAAAGGAGGTTCTTGGTGCATCATAAAGGAGGGTCGGGGGTTTTAGGGTTTACTATCGGGATTGGCCCTAAACCCTAAACCCCAAACCCCAAACCCTAAACCCTAAACCCTAAACCCTAAACCCGCGTCTCTTGTCCAGAGGCTCTCGCGAACCTGGTGAGTCCAGTCCGTGCAGAACTGAAGGCCAAGCGGGGGAAGCTCACATGCTGCGTTCGGCAACCCGGCGCCGAAAACCTGGGGCCTGAAACCCTAAACCCTAAGCCCTAAACCCTAAACCCTAAACCTGGGGCCTGAAACCCTCAACCCAGCCTCACTCCTGCGTCCTCGCTAGAGACAAGACGAGCAAAACGGGGACTTGACATGGTGTTCTAAAGCTCGGTCTCTTTCATCGCATCCTTTCCGCACGGGCTTCAGTTCTTCCCTGGTTCTTAGTAGGGAATCAGGGCATGAGGGCCCTAGATATGCCCTTTACGGGATTATACAGCATACCTTATTCCCTCATTCCCTACTAAGTTACTAAGAACCGGCCAGCTCTAGAAGTTACGAGCCCTATCACCATCCCTAACTCCTCATATGGTCACTTCTCGGAAATATGGTCCTTCTTGGGGTTGCTATGATGAGGCGGCCCCTATTGTTTAGGGTACCCCAAACAGGCACCATAATAGAGAACTCACCATACAGAACTGAAGTGAAAAAGAAAATACTTCACATGACCAGGCAGTACTGATCCTGTGGGCTCTCAGAATGGGGGGGGGGTCCTTTGGGGGCGTTTTGCGGTTGAAGGTTTGGAGCTTGGGATGGTTTAGGAGTGTGAAGATGGCAAGCACTTTGGGGGGAAGATCGCAGGAATTTCGGGTTTGGGGAGTTAGTTTGAAGGGGCTTTCGGCTTGTTGTGCTGTGAATTTTCCGCAACCTGGCATGTTGCAGTTGGGCCACGTCCCCGACGATGGCCTGCTGCGATTGGAAGTGGACCTCGGCACGGACAAGCCGACCGACATCCACGCCAAACGCTCACAGCTGATAGGCGACGCAGAAATCGCGGAAGCTGAACACTAGGGTTTAGGGTTTAGGATTTAGGGGTATAAGGAGGGATCCTAGAATATCCTAGATGGGGGTTTACGAAAATAGAGGACCCCTAAAATAGACCCCCAAAGAGTAGCATTCCCTTACAATAAGCCAAGAGGGTACCCCTAATTTCGGAAACCCCCAAATAATCCCCCAAAGAACCCTAAGGCCCAACATAAGGGTCGCTGCTTGAGTCCCTTGAACACACCTGTATGTTCATTCGCTGGCTTCTCGGTTCCGGGCAGGCCTGTTGGCACTGAAGACGGCGCTTAACAAAAAGTGGGAGGAGCTGCGCAAGCTTCTCGTGGACCCTGAGGCGCAAAAAAGCATGGGGCTGTTCGGCCTTATAAAACTCATAATCAACCCTATGAGGGGCCTGTTTTAAAGGGTTATAGGGGTACAATAGCCCATCCTGGCAAGAAATCTGCAAGGGCAGTTGGAGGTCACGGAGGCCTCACTTGGGACTTGAGACGTGAAAGATCGTGAAACTCTGCGTCAGGAAGAAGCACGCCTCAAGGGGCGCATCGATGAATCGGAGGCCTCTCTCTTGCTGGAAGCCGAGAAGATTAGGGTTTGGGGTTTAAGGGTTTAAGGGTTTAAGGGTTTAAGGGTTTAAGGGTTTAAGGGTTTAAGGGTTTAAGGGTTTAAGGGTTTAAGGGTTTGTTTGGCTCCCAAAAGCACCCGACACACTTCGAGCAGCGATTTCCAGCAATTTCCAACACCGATGCAAGGGCCCTTCTCCCTCGCAGGACAGATACTTCAAGCTCTTTCGCCAGCAATGCCTCTCAAACGTCGACGTGACCGATGCCTCTTGCAAGCAACGGTGGGGTGTGAGTGCAGGGGTCAGTTGTTCTGCTGGCCTCACGTCATTCGGTCATTGATCCATTGGGTTGCTGTGCTTCCGAGGAGAAGGTGGTCGCAGCCCTGTATCAGACCGGCCTCAACTGCACTGAGCTTGGTCAGCCTCAACAGGAGGAGTGCTGGCCTTCCCGAGAGCAGTGAGTACGTGGAGGTTCATGGTACTTATCAACCAAGAGATACTTGTACTTTAAAACTGTACTTCTAAAAAACAACCATATCAGGACACTTTAAGGGGCTTATAAGTGGGTTGTAAGTACAGATCTAATTGGTTAATAGGTACCATGAACCTCCAAGTAGGGTTAGTGCCTGGGGCTGATATCCGACTGATGTTGCGTTGGTTCAAAGCTTGACAGCTGCATCCTAGTGCCAAAGCGATCGTCCGCGGTCTCCATCCTACCTACCTTCCTGAACATGTTTCGCCTTGCTCTTACCGGAGGTTTGCTGGCGGTAGTCGCTCTGCTCATGGGTTGCGGAGACGATTCCACAGTCGAGGCCACGAACCCCGCTTGCGCCTCCTACAGCAAGAATGGTGCTGGAAATGTCACGGACTACGCCTCATGCGCCACAGCCTGCGACCTTGGAGAAGGCATCCAAGAAACCTACGGCACCCATGATTGGTCGGGAAGTGCCGGGGCCGGAGAGTGCGACTGCAAAGTCAGCGACAGCGAGCACAGGACGGCTTGTAAGGACCCCGGCTACTCGTCGAGCTGAGAGCGGGGCTCACAGGGCTGAGGGGGATCTCAAGGGCCTGTGTATCGGATGCCCGCGCCTCTCTCATGGTTCTCAGGCTGTCAAGTGGAGTGTCAAGTGAACCTCCCATGTACATCTATGTGTATGTAAGTGGCGGGAAGACATCTCCCGCCTGTTTTGAAGTTCGACATGAGCTCAACCGTTCCAGTGTCGCTTGGTCCGCGCTGAAGAGCGTGGGAAAGCGTCTCAAAGCCGGACATCCACTCACGAGGAAAAACTAAGCTTGCAGACTCTCTGAAACCCTCTTCCGGGCCGTAACCGAACCGCCCGAAACCCTCAACCCTAAGCCCTAACCAGTCCCTAACCGGAAGCCCTCGCAAAACGTATGCAGGTGTTCGCGCAGATCAGGCCTTAGGGTTCAGGATCCTAGCTAAACCCTAAACCCTAAACCCTAAGCCCTAAACCCTAAACAACGAGAGCAGGAGCTGGAGACCCTGGAGACGGTGCTTCCAGTTCAGCTCCTGGCTTCGGCACTTCGGCCAGGGATTCAGGTGTTAGGGGTTTAGGGTTCAGGGTTTAGGATTTAGGGTTTAGGGTTTAGGGTTTGGGGTTTAGGGTTTAGGGTTTAGGGCTTAGGGTTTAGGGGGGTCGTTTAGGGTTTAGGTTTTCGGGTTTAGGGTTTAGGCCGCCCAGAAATCCCGAAACCCCTGCAACACGAAACCCCAGAAATAAACCCTAGGCTTCCTGAACCATGTTGTGCAGCATGGCGAGGCATACAAGGGGTATACAAGGGGTCCCCTTCTAAGGGGTCCCATATTAAGGAACCATTCTATCTACCCTAAGATTGTGCAACATGAACTGCACTTACAAGCCCCTTAAGTGCCCTAATTTGGTTACAAGTACAGTTATAAGTACAGTTATACTTGGTTAATAAGTGCCATGGACCCTCCAAGCATGGCCCCAAAACCCTAAACCCTAAACCCCTAACCCCTAAACCCTAACCCTAAACCCATTCTATCTCTACCCTAAGATTGTGCTAAGCGCGGCGAGGCAAGGTGTAGGGCAGAAGACTTCATCACTGAGCTGGTGAAGAAGGCCACTCCCCAGGCGCGAGACAAGCTCGGAGGTCTTGGGGTTTAGGGGTTTAGGGGTTTAGGGGTTTAGGGGTTTAGGGGTTTAGGGGTTTAGGGGTTTAGGGGTTTAGGGGTTTAGGGGTTTAGGGGTTTAGGGTTTAGGGTTTAGGGTTTAGGGTTTGGGGCTGAGGGCGCTCTGGGAGGCTTGAAGGACGAGGTTCGGGAGCAGCTGATTCTTTTGTTTCTTCCGTTGGGCCCGAAGTTGGAAATTCCTCCAGAAAGCATCAAGTCAACTTGCGCCAGGTGAAGAAGTCCGGATGGTTCAGCCGCACCTTCTTTGGGCGCAAGGCGGGCGCATGTTAGACATGATTAGGCCGGCTTCCCCTCCAAGAGAGCAGTTCAGCTTACAGTCTTACACAGCTGCACTCAGCAACTACGTTTAGGGTTTAGGGTCGGTACTCTTCCGATATAGCTCTCTCAGCCTGCAACGCAGTCTCTTAAAGGTCCTAAAGCCCTAGGCTTGTGAAAAGACACTTGGTATGTTCTATCCTCTAGAATGTTTCAAAAGGTAAACCAAAGGTAGAAACAAAGCATCCTGAAAAGGGAAAAAAAGAGGGCCGCCCTCACCTTTTTTTGCCTTTGTGTTACTGTGTTTTTCTGCTTTTTCCTTTGTTCTACCTTTCTTTACCTTGTTGTTTACCTTCTTTTTACTTTTTTTTCTCACAACCTTTGCTTAGGTAAAAGCCTGGATCCCCGCCAGGCGGACGGCTGGCCAAACCCTCAACCCTAAACCCTAAACCCTAATCCCTAAACCCTAAACCCTAAACCCAAGTGAGGCCGGCCCCGGTATCTTTTTGCTACCTCTTCGGGATACTGTACCTCTTTCTTTTTTTGCTGCCCTTTCTTCACCTGTTCAATGTATTTCTGGGTTTTTACAGAACAAAAAAGCCAGCAAAAAAGGATCAGAACCCTAGGCCCGAAGCTATCCGAAGCCGTTTAAATGGGGGGTGTTTACAAGTAAACCACCAGCCTTCAAGCTTACGGCTGGTGAGTAGGGAATGGGGGAGTAAGGTGCCATCTATAATCCCCCAAAGGGTAGATATAGGGGGGGCATAGGGTACCTCATTCCCTCATTCCCTACTAACCAACAGTAAGCAAGAGCCCTAAACCCTAAACCCTAAACCCTAAACCCTAAACCCTAAACCCTAAACCCTAAACCCTAAACCCTAAACCCTAAACCCTAAACCCTAAACCCCCAAACATCGCCTTCAAGAGCCTAGCTCCAGGAGCCCGAAGAGTCCTCCCTGGACAAGCTCAGCGTGGAGGATCTGCTTACCGAGCTGCAGAGCGCTGCAGATGCAGAGGTGCCATGGGCACTCGGGTTTAGGGTTTAGGGTTTAGGGTTTAGGGTTTAGGGTTTAGGGTTTAGGGGGTGGTTGTCAAAATGATGGTCCCTTGTTGGATCCCTACTATAATACGGCACCTAATAGTTAGGGAACCCCAAAAGGGATCATAATTTTGTCAACCACCCAAATCGGAAGATTCCGGGCCTTTCCTAGGAATTCGGGTGGCCGTTCAAGAGATCTCACTCAGGAGCCTGTTTGGCTATGTCTTCTTTTGTTCTTGTATGTTTTTTTTTGTGTTTGGACTTTTCCGTGCGATGGCTTCAAGTTCTCCTGTTGAGGTTGTGGAGCCTCCGCAGAAGCTTGCGGTGCAGCTGTGCGGGGGTGGAGCTGCTGGGCTGCACCAGAAGGCTATATCCCCCTTGGGAACTGTTTTTTTTATTTTTGTTTATATAAAACCCAAGAGGATATTAAAAGATAGGATTTTTATTAAGGTTCTAAGAAGAGTATAGTTAGTCAAAGTGCCGACTTTTGCGGCAGCTGCTACCTGCACGGCAGGTCCTGATGGACATCCACGACGACACGGCGGCTGAGCCTCTGCAGCTTCTTTCGCTGGACTTGAGCACGACCTCGCTGGCAGTGAATGTGGGCCGTGGAACCCTAAACCCTAAACCCTAAACCCTAGACCCTAGACCCTAGACCCTAGACCCTAAACCCTAAACCCTAAACCCTAAACCCTAAACGTTTTTTACGGTTTCAATCTCAACGAGTCCCCTAATCTGCCCCATGACGGACGACTGGGTCACGTGAGTGAGTAGTATTTGGGGAGTGTCCGCTGTTAGGGGTTCCTTATTGGGGGATCCTTGTTGTAAGAAGATGCTATACTATTTGGGGGTCTATACTTCGAGGTCCCTTATCATCGTAAACCCCCATTTGAGCAGCCTGCGACCAGCCGCTGCATGCTGTAAAGTGCGCGGCCTGACAGGTGGAGTCAGCCACGGACCACAAAGGACAGAACTCCGCTGCTTTCAGCCTCTTCCTGGCATTGGGTTCTGTGGCTTGGCAGACTCAAGCGTTCATGCAGATGGCCTCTTACCCTGTTGTTGCTTGCTGTTGCTTTTGCTGTTGCTGCTGCCCTAAACCCTAAACCCTAAACCTTACACCCTGTTGCTGGATGACGGTGGCTTTCGCCACTGACCCTGCGTCGCTCTGCTGCTCCCACGGCTCCCAGCCACATCTTCGCCCTGCACTTCCCGTCTCAATCCCTTCTCCTCCCAGGGTTTAGGGTTTAGGGTTTAGGGTTTAGGGTTTAGGGTTTAGGGTTCCTCGTTAGGGTTTAGAGGTGTAGGCTTCAGGGTTTACCGCGGTGGCCGCTCTCCTCTGGCTCCTTCTGCTGCTTGTCTTCTGGCTTTCTCTCGTTGCTGTCTCGCTGTGATTGCTGGGCCAACCGCACCACTCAAGTCATGGCCTTGGCTTGAAGGTGAATGTCTCGCACCAGCAGAAGTCCTTCTTTCAGCCGAAGCAGGCCGGAGCACCTTGAAAGTTTGACAAGTTCCCCCCCCCCCCCCCCCCCCTTCGCAACCCCCCCCCCCCCCCCCCCCCTCCACTATCAGCGTCGTGTACTATTGCTATGCTACCGGGGGTAGAATGTTTTATGGGAGCCCCTTCGAAGCGAAAATGAGGTGGCGGGTGACGAGATCATGCAGCAAGCTCTGGATCTCCGGGTGGAGAACAAGCTGGAGCCTACGCAGAACCTGCTGGAAGTGCCCGGGCCCCAGGGCTTGTAGGTTTTTTTTGGTTTTGTTGTTTTAAAAGGGTTTTTCAGGGTTTTTTCTTCGGGTGTTTTTATGGTTTCGTTAGGGCTTGTTTAGGGTTTTTAAGGGTCTAGGGTTTAGAGTTTTTTTTAGGGCTGTCGACAAAGGATGCCGTCGAGGCACCTGATGTGTCATGTTCTATCGACATGAAGCCCGAAAGGCCTAAGCCTGTAGGGTGCCGGAGGGTTTAAGGGCTTAAGGGTTTAGGGAGTCTTAGGGAGTAGTGGGGAGCATTAGGGAACCTTGGGTTACATACCCCCTTGAACCCCCGCCTTCCCTTAAGGACCCTATAATAACCCTAGACCCCTACACTGCCAAATTCAGCAAGCTTTCGAAGCCCCCATATAGGGGAAGTTCTCAAAAGGGCTATAACAAGGACCCCAAAAGGGACCCGAATCTAGAGAACCCTTAACCCCAAACCCCAAACCCCAAACCCTAAACCCCAAACCCCAAACCCCAAACCCTACACCCCAAACCCTAAACCCCAAACCCTAAACCCTTAACCCTAAACCCCACGTAGACCTCGGAAGAGGAGCCTCACCTTCGCCCCGCTCGAGATCTTCATGATCCCGGGACTCCTCGCATCGATCTTAGGCTTCTACCCTGACGCAGCCGAGGCCGCTTTGCAGCTGTCATGCTAGGGTTTAGGGTGTAGGGTGTAGGGTGTAGGGTTTAGGGTTTAGGGTTTAGGGTTTAGGGTTTCGGAGAGGGGATGCAAGGGGGGCCATTTCCTCTTTTGAGGCTTATCCCCCCAGGTTTCTGTGATGTTGCTTTGCTTGGGTACTTTTGGGAGTTGAAGCCGTGAAAGCCCTCGAGTGCAACAAGGCTCTTGCTTCACCGTATGCCCCACGACAGAGGGGAGCCCTGAATGCCGGGATGATGCAGGGTACTGTAGGGGCTTCGGTAGCCTTTTTGCTTTGCGTCGCGCTGCGTCCCTCTGTTTTCGAGTCTTGCTTGGGATGTTCTCCTTGTACTAACAGTCCTTCATAGGGACAGGGGTTAGAGTACCACAAGGGGGAATTTTTCTCCCAAAGTCTTGTCTACGTTTGTAGAAGCCCCAGGCCGCGCAGATGCAGGGTCCATGTAGGTCGACAGTGCTGATGATTGGGAGGTCCCCCCCTTAGACTAACAGTCTCCTTAAACTAGAACTAGAATCCCTCTTCCTAACTAGGGACTATACTAGGGGGTACTAGACTCCCTATTCCTTAATAGGAATTATAATAGGGGGGGGGGGGAGGGTGGTACGAGAATCCCTATGCCTCAATAGGGACTATCATGGTGGGGGGGAACGAGAATCCCTATTAAGTAGCTGTTAGCATAAGAGGGAACATCCCAAGCTGATGAGCTCAAGCTCTGGAGGGGAGCATGCCTTGGAAGGTTCCCCCTTATAATTCTGGGCAACTGGAGATGCTAGACACCTGAACCCTAGACCCTAGACCCTAGACCCTAAACCCTAAACCCTAAACCCTAAACCCCAGCAAAAGTCGGCGGTGCATCAGAATCACGTCGATGCCTTTAGGCAAACCCGCGTTTGCCGTCGGAGTCCAGAAACACGATTGGGAAGCTGACTGGGCTCCCCTGTGCAAAACCCCGAACGTTGATCTCGAGATGTTGGGCCCATGATCCCAACTAAGTAGTTTCTGGATGCATCTTTGCCAGCACAGTCTTGGCGTTCGGCGAGGTTGAAGAGGCAGCAGGTGTGGGCGCACCCGTCGTGATCGAGCAGATTGATGCCATGACCTTACTCCGGAATGCGGCCTTGTGCTGCCTATGCGCTTCGCAGCTCGGATGTCGTGTGTATGTGTCCGTGGTAAGGCTTTTGTGGCAGAGACGGAGACAAAAGCTACGCGCGCCGAGCGCCTCAAGCAACTCAGCTCACATGTCCATGTGTATTGGTCTCAGCTTGCGCGGCTGCCTCCTGCACCTACTTGGGGGTTCATGGTACTTATTAACCAATAATAACTGTACTTATAACTGTACTTATAAGCCCCTCAAGTGCCCAAATATGGTTACAAGTACAGTTAGAAGTACAGTTGTAGTGGGTTGATAGGTGCCATGAACCACCAAGTAGAAGTTACCTGCAGCAAGGTGGTTCAGCATACAAGCTGAGCAGGTTGCAGGACTGCGCCAGTAGAAAAACCCCTGCTGATGAAAGCCCCATGTCCCCAAACCTCCAACCCATGGTTATCTTGGTTGTGCTTTGGGATAGTTCTTTAACTACCCTTCTTTCCTTATAAGGGAACCTATTCATAAACAATTCTCACAGGGCTTTCACCACAACCCAGATTTATTGTATAACCCCATTAGGGTACTTGAGGGACTTGTGTGTGGGTTCTAACTACACTTAGAATGGGTACCAAGTACCGCAAATCCCTAAACCCTAAACCCTAAACCCTAAACCCTAAACCCCTAAACCCCTAAACCCCTAAACCCCTAAACCCCTAAACCCCTAAACCCTACTGCCTAGAACCTCCAAGTATTGCATGGACCTGAGGGACATACTGGACGCCAACGCAGACAGGGCCAAGGAACTCGCCCAAGAGGCCTGCGGGGAGCCAGGAAAGCAGGAGAAGAGGATTGGTTTCGTTTTTGGTTGGGTTTAGGCTAGGGCTTAGGGCTTAGGGCTTAGGGCTTAGGGCTTAGGGTTTAGGGTTTAGGGTTTAGGGTTTAGGGTTTAGGGTTTAGGGTTTAGGGTTTAGGGTTTAGGAAGGTTGGAGTCTATAGACTCTGAGTTGTCGCACCAACATCTATAAGGAACCCCCTATGTACGCCCAACATATACACTCGCCACGATTTAAGAAGGAAGCCTATATACGCTCACTAAGAACAACAGCAATGCGATTTCAGGTGTACAATCGCATCCCCGACCGGATCAGCCGCTTGTCAGCAATGGCTGTGCCAAACATAGCGTTTAGGGTTTAGGGTTTGGGGTTTAGGGTTTAGAGTTTAGGGTTTAGGGTTTAGGGTTTGGGGTTTAGGGTTTAGGGTTTCGGGTTTAGGGTTTAGGGTCGAAACCCTTCTCGCAGCTCAAGAATCTTCCGCACGCTGCATCCTTGTGCCCGACGGCTTTGGGAGGTTTCTTGTCTCCTCGGCGCTGTGGCTGTACTTTAGGGGCCTGAATAACTACTAGTAGTATTTGTATTAATGGTAGTATATAATTAATATATAGTAGTACATAATTAACAGTAGTATATATCTAATAGTAGTATACAGTTTATAGTAGTATATGAATAATGGTATTCCCTCAGGGTCCCTATATGCAAATAGCGACAAAGCAAAGTTCTAATCATGTAGGCCCTTAAAGTAGCATGCGCAGTGCTCTTAACCCTAAACCCTAAACCCTAAACCCTAAACCCTAAACCCTAAACGCTCTGGGCTTGCACTTCGCCATTTCTGTGGTCGGCGCAGTCTAAGATGCTGTTTTTGGCATGAAGCGAGACCGACAAGACCATGTCAATTCTTCCTGCTATACTGCCGGCATGGTCTGGTATGTCACCAGCACAACCCCTAAACCTTAAACCCTAAACCCTAAAACCCCAAACCCCTGACCAATTCTGTACCAGAGGCCCAGCTGCATAACAAAGGGGTCGGAAGAAGTATGAATACTCTTCCCTTATTGCTGCTATAGAATGATACCATAACAACCCCCCAAAACCTTATTCTGATTCTGAAGGCCCCTATAGCAGTCACTTTACCACGCTACCTGTCGTGCCGACAGACCCCATGGCTGCAACAGGCTGGCCTTCGGCAGCCTCCGATTCTCTGTTTCATGGGCCCTTGGCATGGTCCCTTACCTACCTTAAGTATGAGCCCTTGGGTTTTATAGGGTACATAAGGGGCCCATATTAAGGGACCACGTAACTACCGTAAGAGATTCCGAAGGGCTCTCTGGAATCCTATACAGCGGTAGGTGTTTTATTACCCTTAACCCCCTTCACAATCCTTGTACAGCCATAAAATACTAGTTTTGACAGGGCCCCCGAACCCACCCCATTAGAATCGAAGTGGACCTTGGATGACACCGATCCGAGGTCTGGCCATCAACCTTTCTGCTCCCACGCTTCACGTCCCGGTTGACAGCGTGGGCAAGGCGTCCAGCCACCTTCGCGTAGCCACAGCAGGATTCCAGCATTTTGGGGTAGATTGAGGGACCCCTATGTTGCGAGGTGCCCGTTGATGGGAGGATTTAGTTAACATCGCTTTCAGGGCCTAGCCGTATTAGAGACGCAACCAATGCAGACAGTTCTGAGGCTTCCCCAAAAGGGGCCCTAACTTTGAGAACTCACCTTAAACCCGAAACCCTAAACCCTAAACCCTCAACCCACAGCTGCCTGGAGGCTGTGATCACACTGGGCCAGCTCACGCTGGAGACTCCGGCACCATGCCTATTCGAGTGCCACTCCACTGAAAGATGGGTTTAGGGTTCAGGAGCTTGCAGTTGCCTGTCTTGCGTCAGAAGCGACCCGCATGTGGGCATCCAGATGCCATGAGGCTTGCAGTTTCAGCTGCAGCTGAAGAACACCCAAGTCTCCACGGTGTTTAACACTGGCGAGGTGTTTGAAGCTCGGCTGCACCCTAAACCCTAAACCCTAAACCCTAAACCCTAAGGGCGGCCATACCCCCGGCCTCTCGGGTGTGCTTCTGTCACGCAAGCTCACAGACAGTAGCCGAGTAGCAGGGCATCTACGCTCCCTGGGCAAAAGTGCTTCAGCCTTGGGGATTGGGTTGCTAGCTTTGCCCAAAGCTGGTCCACTTGTTTAGGGTGTAGGGTTTAGGGTTTAGGGTGTAGGGTGTAGGGTTTAGGGTGTCTATGCCCTCCTGCGCAGCTCAGGATGTGGTCGAACCCCTGCCTATTACCATCGGGCTCAAGCCACTCACCTGGGCAGTGCAGGCGCCGTAAGGCGTCACGAAGGTTCCTAGCGATGCCCCTGGATGTGTAAAGAATCCATTCAATCTAGATGTGTCGGATGGCCCACTCACAAATGGGGGGTTTACGAAGATAAGGGGCCCCAAAAAAGACCCCTAATGTAGTAGGGTTCCCTTGTAATAAGGACCCCCCAAGAAGGTCCCCCTAATTTCTGAAGGCCCCAAACGCCTAAACCCTAAATCCTAAACCCTAAACCCTAAACCCCTTCACAAAGTGTAGTTGAGAAAGGTATGCCGAGACGCCCAAGGATGTTTCCATCGGAGTCACCATCAAGGCCAGGGGGGGCTGGACTACTTTGACCCTGCTGTGGCAGCTGCGATGCTAATATCTTAATCATACTATAGTAATATAGTAATCAGGCTTGTGCTTTTGGGATGATATTTTCACTTCTTTCCTTCCTCAGGGAACCTATTCATAAATAATTTTATATAACAAGGTAACATTATAAGAAAACACCAGTACGCTAAAGGACGACGAGAAGCAAACCGGCCAGCCTCAGAACCCACTTAGGGTTTAGGGTTTAGGGTTTAGGGTTTAGGGTTTAGGGTTTAGGGTTTAGGGTTTAGGGTTTAGGGTTTAGGGTTTAGGGCTTGCCTTGGCAGATCGGGCACCTGAGCCTCTCCGCCTCGCCGCACGCGGTAAACCTCCTGATGGGACTTCCACAAGCGGTGGTGGACATGCTGACTCCTGGCAGCAGCACAGAGAGCAGAGCTGCAGTGTTTAGTAGTACCCCTAAACCCTAAACCCTAAACCCTAAACCCTAAAACCCTAAACCCTAAACCCTAAACCCTAAACCTACACCCACATGAGTATGAGTGCAAGGACGGTGCCGATCACGGTCCGGCAAAAGAAGCCTGCCATGCTGGAGAAGGAGCCACCCTTGGCTGTTCCCTCATTGGGGGGGGGGGGGGCCCTCTAAATCTCTGCTGTAATAGACGGATCAATATTCACGCCACTAAGAGTTCAAGGCGGACTAATAGACCAAGCTCTCAACCCTAAACCCTCCTTTGGGGTCGAAAAGGGGCTTGATAAGGGTCTTAGCGGGTCGATGGAAGCCCTAAACCCTGAACCCTGAACCCTGAACCCTGAACCCTGAACCCTGAACCCTGAACCCTAAACCCTAAACCCTAAACCCTAAACCCAACTTCTTGCAGCGGATGCAAGGCCCCAGAGGCCGCCCCGGTTGCCAAAGAGAGGCGGTCTGCCGCCCGAGGCCAGGGGGGGCTAAATTGGGCATTTTCCGGGGTTTAGGGTTTAGGGTTTAGGGTTTAGGGTTTAGGGTTTAGGGTTTCGGGTTCCCTGTTTTACTAAACGGGCGTCCCATGTAGAAGAGTCCTGCATCGACGACGTCAAGGTGGCCAGGTCGGGCTTGAAGTTCTTTGGCTTCGGGATTGTTGAGTTAGCCACATGGGGGCTTCCGAACATAGGGGCACCCTTTTGGGGGTTCCTTTTATAAGGGTTCGACTATTTTGGAGGTATATTCCGGGTACCCCTATTTGCGGAAATACCCACATGAAGACCACACCCAGGATGGGACTGGGGCGGTACCCAACGGCCCCTGGTGGACTCGGTTTTTTGTTGGAACACTTTTTGGGATGCCCTTGGACCCTTTTGGGAAACACTTATTATTATTGTTATTGTTATTATTAGTATTAGTATTATTTGTATTATTCTTATTATTCTTATTATTATTGTATTATTATTGTTATTTTCATTTTTATTTATTATTATTCTTATTCTTATTCTTATTATTGTTATTATTCTTGGGACCGTCCAGGCTCTTGGAGCCACAAGACCTGGAATTGGAAACGCTTGGAAACGCTTGGGACCTTCCACAGAATCTGCAAAATCATAGGGGTCATTTCTGTCACCAAAAGCTGTGCGTAATTATCACTGGAATCGGCAATTGTTTTTCCGAATCCTGGGTACATCCCACAGACTCCCAATCAGGGCTTTGCGAAAGACCCTCAACCCCTGGATGGAGGAAGTATTTTGGAGGCACGCAATTGAATTGAGTTGAGGTTTAATCCCTAAAAGGAGTAGGTAAACCCTAAACCCTAAACCCTAAACCGCCAAAGTCGGCGTGGGGCGGGAGAAAAGGGTTAGATGGCCCTCCACAATCGGGCCATGGCCTTTCGAGGCTAGTCTGCAGCCCAACCTCCACAGCTTCTGCGCCACATCACAACCAACCCCAAAGCTCTAAACCCGAGCCCTAAACCCTAAACCCTAAACCCCAAACCCTAAACCCTAAACCCTAAGCGCCCAACCACCCTGGAGCCGTGCACCCAGGAAGTGCCACGGTCATTGCAGCCGACGTGCTGGGAGAGGACTTTGTCGCCTTCAAAAGGCTCGACGTTTTCATGACCATGGTTTAGGATTTAGCGTTTTGGGTTTAGGGTTTAGGGTTTAGGGTTTGGGCTTCGAGCTTGGCTGTGGAGGACGTGCAAAGTGCAGTTCTGCTTGTGCTATGTGGGTAGTTATCTTTATTCGGGTCCCTTTTTGGGTTTCAGGGTGCCGCGCTTTAGAGGGGACCCAAAAAGTGACCCGAATGATTCGTTTGACGAGGGCCTGAGGGACGCCGAATGTCAGGCGAGCAGAGTCAACAACAACTTCGGAAGTCTAGGGTTTTTTTAACGTTGAAACAAACCCTAAATTTGGATAGGGTTTAGGGTTTAGGGTTAAACCTTAAACCCTAAACCCAACTAACCCTAAACCCTAAACCCTAAAATTGTAAGTGTTCCCGGCTCCTGTGCAAGTCGGCTCGGAGGCGCGTGACACGATGTCCTCAAAAGACCGCTATCACACGAACACACAGCTGAGTCCGGGATGCTCCCCCTTGATAGGAGCAGTCCTCAAAAGCAACTAGAGTAGAGAGTACTAAACCCTAAACCCTAAAATATAAACCTAAACCCTAGACCCTAGACCCTAAACCCTAAACCCTAAACCCTAAACCCTAAACCCTAAACCCTAAACCCTAAACCCTAAACCCTAAACCCTAAACCCTAAACCCTAAACCCTAAACCCTAAACCCTAAACCCACCCTGTATTATAATCCCTATTCAGGAGCCTGCTAGTATGGGGGGGGACCATCCCAAAGCTGGCTGAACTCTGAAAGTCTGGCGCCAGGGCCGAGGAGCTTCAGAAGAAACCCATGAGGACCTCCGCGCCTTGAGCGGCAGGATTAGGGTTGGGGGGTTGAGGGGTTGAGGGCTTTAGGGGTTGAGGGGTTGAGGGGTTGAGGGGTTGAGGGGTTGAGGGTTTGAGGGGTTTAGAGGTTGAGGGGTTTAGGGGTTTAGGGGTTTAGGGTGTCCGTCAATAGGGGGCTACCTTTTTGGGGGGGTCCCTGACTCAATTTTCTGTTTTGGGTATAAGAAGGTCCCTTTAGGGGGATTCCCCTATTTTGGGAAGTGCCCATTTGTCCCCAGCTTTGACTTCCTGTGCGCACGGCGCGCTCTGGGTGATGTGTGGTCTCCTGCGGTGGATTCCTTTCCTAGGCTGGCTACTGGAACCCGAAACCCTAAACCCGAAACCCTAAACCCGAAACCCTAAACCCGAAACCCTAAACCCTAAACCCTAAACCCGTACTTCCTCAGGTGTCACTGGCCTTCGATGACGCCACCTTCTCCCTCAGCGACTCCATCATGCCCCTCATGCGCCTGAAGATGGAGGCCATGCCCCCGGGACTCCAGGTCTCTGCCCCCTGGCATGCCCAACTCAATTTGATAGGGTTTAGGGTTTGGGGTTTGGGGTTTAGGGTTTAGGGTTTAGGGCTAAATCCCGCGCCTCTCTAGGTAGCCTTGGGCGGGACATTTGCAGACTGGCTGTGAAATCGGTACCTAACCCCAAGAGCGATACCCCCAGATACGAGTCAATTCCATCCTCATAACTTGAGTTGATTACCTTGCTGATGCAGTGCATTTGTCTTGAAATCGGCTGGTTAAGAGTGCCCCTGGTGCTCCATGACTTGGCAGTACGGTTTTTATTGGGACGTGCACTAATTTGGTTCTATGAATATGAATATATATGTATATATATATATATATATGTATTGAGGTCCTTTTTCACAAGGGAATCCTACCATCTGGAGTCTGTGTCAAGGGTCCCTAAGTTTCGAAAACCCCCCATATATGAGTATGTTTAGCTATAATATGTCGCTTATTGGGGTAAGAAGACGTTGTTTATGAACATTTGCAGAGGGTTTGAAGTGCCAAGAGCAGTCTCCCTTTGGGCCGAACAGTGGACTTTGTGTCGTTACAGTTGCCCTAAACCCTAAACCCTAAACCCTAAACCCTCTAAACTTGGTACCGAGGTTGAATCTGGAAAGGTGGACGTCAAGCTCATGGAGTCCAGCCTAAGCGTCGACGTTCTGAACACGAGGTCATCCAGCTCACAATTCATTCTTAAACGGCATCTTCTTAAACCCAATAAGCTAAATATTATAGCTAACACATATATATATATATAATATACATATGTAATCTTATACATATATATATATGTTTCTATATTAAGAACCAAACTTGAGATTTGTAGAAGGGACGGCAGACGCCCAACACCGCCCAGCTTCCACAAGCGTCTTCATGCGGATGTTGCCTCAGAAGTCGCGAATATCGACAGCTTCAGGCAATATCAGCGCAACTATGTGCAGCAGACGGGGTCTCTGCCGAGCATTCCCGGCCTTAAAACCCGACCCCTAAACCCTAAACCCTAAACCCTAAACCCTAAACCCTTAACCCTTAACCCTTAAACCCTAAACACGCCCAAAACCATGCCAAGTTCCCGAGGCACGGCGACTGGGAGCCCTTCCTGGAGCGTTTCGACTTTGGTGTCTCCGTGGTGATGTCTGAGACGATGCGCATCTCTCTGTGACTGGGCCTTGAAGCGGGTTTAGGGTTTAGGGTTTAGGGTTTAGGGTTTAGGGTCCCTGAAATTGTCGGTGTCCTTATTAGAATCCCCACAATCAACCCTATAACGGGCCGTTTAAGAGGGTTCTAGGGTGTAATCGCCCATCCAGCAGGTGGGTTCCGGGTCCGAATTCGCGCGCGAAAGTTGCAACAGCACCGGGGGATGAGATATATTAGGCCGTACAATCCCCATTATCAACCCGATCAAGGGGCACTAAGCCCTAAACCCTAAACCCTGATTTCAAGGGGGTTTATAGGGTAATAGGAGCCAATCCTGGCATGGGCCCTCACTCAGGCACGCGCTTGGGCCCCTTCACCTGAACCTTGTCCCAAAGCCCACGCGACAAATCTTGGAGCTGCTCCCGCTGCTCCTGAAGAGCCTCAGGCCGGATGCAATTGCAGTCAACTCCCAACGGTTGGAACACCCTTATCCCTTTACCCCAAAAAAGATACCAAAGGAAATCCCAGCTCTAATGATCCTTAAACCACGTTCCAACTGTCTGGAGTTAACTGTAGAAGCTGCATATGGGCGGTTGTCAAAATGATGGTCACTTTTTGGATCCCTATCATACTACGGCACCTAGTACTTCGGGTATCCCAAAAGGGATCAATATATTTTTACCAACCCCCCATATGATTATGCTTCACTGAACTTGCCCTGGCCTGGCTGCCAGTAGCTGTGCCGATGCAAAGGCCTCCGCAGTCGCTGTCCGAGGCTGAGAAGAGGCCTCCATTCTGCATGTTTCGACCCTGAAACAACTTTCAAAGCCTTGGAGTTTCACCTGAAGTTAAGCCCGAAACCCTACAGTAAACCCTGAACCCTAAACCCCAACCCCTAAACCCTAAACCCCTAAACCCCAAACCCCAAACCCTAAACCCCCACATCCTTCCGCCCTTTCCCCTTCCTCAGCCGAGGCCCGCGGCGGGATCGTCCTCAACGGGATCGGGTTCGCAGAAGCTCCGCGTGGTGAGCCTCTGGGGCGGACAGCTGGAGCTCCTGTGCAGTGGCGCGCGAGCCTGGGGCAAGATGGCCACCGGTGGTCTTTGTTTGTTTCTCTTATACCTCCGCGTCTTTTTTGTCGGTTGTCCCCACGGCAGATTGCGGGCATGCGGGCATACTGCGTTGACTCCCTAAACCCTAAACCCTAAACCCTAAACCCTAAACCCTCTCAGGAAACGTGTCGGTCAAAGTGGTGATCCAGCCTTCCGGCTCCCAGTGGGTAGCCTTGGACGACAAGATCAGCGCACTCACACTGTGACCCGACTTTGGATGTGTATATATTTATATAAAGATAAATATAAATACAAATATAAATAAATATAAATAAATAATGTATATGTATGTATATATATATATGCTCACCCCCCCCTCGACAGACCCCGGAAGCGAAAAAAAGGCTGAGAGCGCGACGGACAGCATAGCTGCACACAGTAGCCAGACACGTTAACACACAATAGAGCATATTTTTTTTCGATTAGTACGGTTTTGTGTTCGCAATGAAAGATGCAGACAGATGTGAGAAGGACGCATGCTGTAAGGACCTGAACAATTTGCTCGACATCGTGGGTTGCTATTAATTTTAATAAGATTGCTCTTAGTTTTACTTGGGTTCCTATTAAGCTTATTAGGATTCATAGGCTTCGTATGAGTTCAATAGGAATCCTATTTAAATCAATAGGAAACCCATTAAAATGAATGAGAACACTATTGAAATTCAGACGAGTCTTTTTTGAAAACTTAGTAAGAATCCTAGTACAATTAATAAGAACCTGGTTGAAATACGTAGAAGCTCCTATTAAAATTTCTTGGCGTCCTGAATTCAGAGGAACCATAGGAAGGCCATTCAAATGAATAGGAACCCTTTTGAATTCATAGGAATGCTATTAAAATTTATAGGAACCCTACAAAAGAATCTATGAATTCGTTTTAAGAGTAACTGGAATCCGTGTAACATGAAGATGAATCCTATTAAAGGATTAAGAGGAGCCAATAAAATTCTATAAAAAAAGTAATGTGGACCCTTCAAAACTTAAAACAATAAGAGTCGTACTGTTAGAATTATAATGAACCCTATTAAAAAATTTAATTAATAGGATTGCTAATAAAACAAATGAGAGTTACAATAACATTACTTCGAGTCCAATTGAAATTAATAGGGAACAGGATTTAAAAACATAATCGGAGCACTGTGGAATCTAGTAGGAATCCTATGAACATTATTAGGAATCCTGTCAACATGAATGAGAAACCCTTTTAAAATGAATACGAAGCCTATTCCAATTAATCAGAAGCCTTTTTAAATGAATAGGAAGCTTGTCAAAGCAAAAGGAACCCAATTAGAAATTGTAAGACATCTTATGAAAATGAATAAGAAGCATATTGAAATTAATAGGAATATGTATAAAATTTGTTATGAAGCTTATTAAAATTCTAAGACTTTTATTAAAACTAACTAGGAAGAAGAATATTACAATTACTCGGAATCGTATTCCAATTATTTGGCATTTGATTAAAATGAATAGGAATCAAAATATTCAACCCAATAAAGTCCTTTAACAGGCATCCTTTAAAATCAAATACGAACCCCATTAAACAAATACAGGAATCCCATTGAAGATCACTTAGAATGCTAGTAAAATGATTAGGAGTCTGATTAATTAAATAAGGACTCCCGTTAAAGTGAACAGGAGTATTATTAAATTTAATAGGCAGCCTAAAACATAATGAGGAATCATATAAGAAACCCTGAAAAACTCTTATCCAAAATCCAGTTTCTAAAAACCCAAAAATCCAAACATCCAAGCATCCACCCCAAAGGTTTGGATTTTTGGAAACTCAAGCGGGAGCCTCAAAATCCAAAAATCGAGCAAATTCCTCGAGTTTCCAAAATTCCAAAAACCCAAAAAAACCCACCCCAAGGTTCGGAATTTTGGAAACCCGAGGAATTTGCTCGATTTTTTGATTGTGAGGGTCCCGCTCGAGTTTCCAAAAATCCGAAACTTGGGTTGGGGTTTTTGGAATTTTGGAATTTTGGAAACTCGAGGTTCCAAAATCCAAAAATCCAAAAATCCCAACCCAAGTTTCGGATTTTTGGAAACTCGAGGAATTTGCTCAAAATCCAAAAAAACCCAAAATTCCTCGAGTTTCCAAAATTCCAAAAATCCAAAAATCCCAACCCCAGTTTCGGATTTGTGGAAACTCGAGGAATTTGCTCAAAATCCAAAAAAAACCCAAAATTCCTTGAGTTTCCAAAATTCCCAAAATCCAAAAATTCCACCCCAAGGTTTGGATTTTTAGAAACTCGAGCGGGAGCCTCGAAATCCATAAAAACCACAAATTCCTCGAGTTTCCAAAATTCCAAAAATCCAAAAATCCCAACCCCAGTTTCGGATTTTTGGAAACTCGAGGAATTTGCTCAAAGTCCAAAAAAAAAAACCAAAATTCCTCGAGTTTCCAAAATTCCAAAAATCCAAAAATCCCAACCCCAGTTTCGGATTTTTGGAAACTCGGGGAATTTTGGATCTTTTTGGATTTTGAGCAAATTCCTCGAGTTTCCAAAAATCCGAAACTGGGGTTGGGATTTTCGGATTTTTGGATTTTGGAAACTCGAGGAATTTTGGGTTTTTTTGGATTTTGAGCAAATTCCTCGAGTTTCCAAAAATCCGAAACTGGGGTTGGGATTTTTGGATTTTTGGAATTTTGGAAACTCGAGGAATTTTGGTTTTTTTTTTGGATTTTGAGCAAATTCCTCGAGTTTCCACAAATCCGAAACTGGGGTTGGAGTTTTTGGATTTTTGGATTTTTGGATTTTTGGAAACTCGAGGAATTTTGGGTTTTTTTGGATTTTGAGCAAATTCCTCGAGTTTCCAAAAATCCGAAACTTGGGTTGGGATTTTTGGATTTTTGGATTTTGGAAACTCGAGGAATTTTGGGTTTTTTTGGATTTTGAGCAAATTCCTCGAGTTTCCAAAAATCCGAAACTTGGGTTTGGTTTTTTTGGAGTTTTGGATTTTTGGAAATTCGAGGAATTTTGGAGTGGTGCTCTTCCCCCCCCCCCCCGCTTCCTGGACAGATCGGAAATACAATTCCGGGGTCTGTCGAGGGGGGGGGGGGTGACCATATATATATATATATATATATATATATATGGTGTGTGTGTGTGTGTGTTTGTATGTGTGCCTGTGTTTGTACAATAGTATATATAATGTTTTATTACATAGCAGCATCTGCATCTGTCTTGTTCTTCTTCTTATTGTTATTCTTATGAGTCTTAGTATCATTGTTCTGCTTCGTATGATCATTTGGGTGTTTTTTTTTAATAAATGTTGACTTCACATTAATGATTCCCGCTACAATTGTAAAATCCAGCTGCCGGAACACAATATTGTAACCCGCCACAATTGTAAAATCCAACCCGGAAAATTCGTTTTTTACGGGCGTGGTGCTACTACCTAATACTAAAACTAATACTACGTCCTACCAGGATTTAGGCGAACATTATTGAGGAGGCCCTGGCCGGAGAGATTGATCAATGAAGGGGGGGGGGTTTATTAATGCGAAGTCAACATTATCTTTGTTGCTCTGTAGTAAATTTTATATTGAGAATAAGTAAAGACATATATATATATATATACGTATACATACATATATATTTTAAGGGGCTGCGCCCATGGGCGGGCAGCGCACGCAGAAGCCCGGGGCGAGCAGTTTCTAAGCATGTTGAGGCCCTTAAACTCCCTTAAAATCTCTAAGCGTTAAGTTGCTAAGCATTTTCAGGCCCCTAAACTCCCTTCAAATCTCTAAGCGTTTGAGGCTCCTAGACTCCCTTAACGTTTCTAAGCACTTTATAAGGCCCCTAAACTCCCTTTTTCCTAGCCATGGGTTAGACACGTCGCTTATGCCCGCCCTTTGGGGGGCATCATGCTCCTGATGCGCCCCCGGGGTCCCGCCCCGGGAGCCGCTGATGCTCCTGATGCGCGCCTGGGGGTCCCGGGCTGGACCCGCTGATGCTCATGATGCGCGCCCTCTGGGGGCCTCCGTGGCGACGCAAAAAACCACGAAAAAAAAACCGTTCACCGGCGGCACGCGGGGGTCGGCGGCACTGGCGTCCGGCCTAATTCTGCTTCGCAGAAGGCCAGAGGCCAGCAAGGCTATTCCCGGGACGACCCGGGCTAAAAGGTCCGCATTTGCTCGGTCCTTTGGGGACCTCGCGCTGCCCGATTTAATGGCTACCGCCAGTGCCGCCGACCCCACCCCCCGCCATTTTAGGGTGCCTCAGGGCTTAGGGAGTTTCTTGGGTGGCTTCGGCTTGGGCAGCTTGGGGTAGTTGGAGGATTTGGGCGCCCTTTGCAGGGATGACGCTATGAGGGTTTAGGGTTTAGGGCTAGTTCGCAGCCTTTTGGGAGAGGGGGGGGGCCTTCACACTGGTGGCGGGCGGTGCGGATGGCGGCTCGTCAGCGTGGGTGGCTCAGGGGGCGGGTGGCTTGGGGCGGTCTTGGTGGTTCGGGTCATGTGGGTGGTTGGGGTGATGTGGGGTTCGGGTGGTGTGGGTGTTTGGCGGCATGGCTTCGTTCATGTACAGACTGTACAGCCTCAGAGTGTCCTACTGTGCATACCTAGGCTGGGCACTCTGATAGGATTCCTGACCCTTGAGGCGGCTGCGGGCAAGTGAGCGAGGAAAGAAAAATACAAATTTGTTAAGTTTACCTGTAACTCCGTATCAGTTTTGTGGGGCCCCTGCAGGGTCCCAGGAAGGGACCAAGCAGGGCAGCCCCCCCAACTAGAAAAACCTAGATGAATTTAGAATCTGTCCCCATGTGCTTGCATAAAGGCCCACGGGAGGGGGACCCAAGGACCCCCCGGGGCAACCGGCACCCCGAGAACCAACGCGGATCCTGCAAAAACAGGGCGACCGACCCAAGGACCGGCGGAGGGTGGGAGAAGCGGGCGACCGACCCAAAGACCGGCGGAGGAGGAAGTTTTAAAACTTGCGTTTTGCGTTGTTCTATACGTCCTGTTGAGTCGGGCCTTTTTTGCTTTGTTCTAAGCGTCAAAGTGGGCAGATTCCAAATTCCACCGAATCCCGGTGCCCTATGCTCCCTTAGAAGGGCCCCCATGGCTCAAATCCTTCGGCTAATCCAGGGCATTTAGCCTTGCGAGCAGCACAACGGCAAAGTTTGGATTGCGAGCCAGGGGTCGGTCAGAAGAGCGTTTGGAAGCGAGGCTTCAAACGGCGCGCGAGGTTCACGAAGCGGGTTG